TCCTCTGCTTTAGGGTCTCTCTGTTGTTTAGTTGCTAAGTTGTGTCTAATCTTTGTATCCTCATGGACTGTGGCCTGATAGGCTCCTCTCTCCATGGGATTTCCCAGGCAAGAATACTGGAGTAGGTCACCATTTCCTTCTCCAGGGGATCTTCCTGACCCAGGAATCAAACCCTCAGCTCCTGCATTGTAGATGGATTCTTTACTGCTGAACCACCAGGGAATCCCCATATCATGATAATATCTCATGTTAAATGTTTTGGTTTGTCTGTAATAATAATAATAAATAGGCAAATGAAATGAGGAAAAATCCATTTCAGAAATACCCTTTCTTGCTGAGGACTTTACGGAGCCATAAAAAAGATGAAGAACGAACAAACACGACTATTGTGAGTCTTCCTTCCTGTTTTAGCCTGGGTCACTGTGGACATGAATCCGTTTATACCACAAAGATATCATTGACCAGGGACTCTTGCCTCCCCAGCCTCTGAGTGTGTCTGTGTACAGATCAGACCCTGGCCGTGTCAGGACACTCTTTGTTCCTCCTTTCCCCTCATTTTAATCTAGGAACCTTATGATAGCAGTGAAAGTTTGTGCTTTCATTGCTTCTGACTTCAGAGTTTTATTGCAAGGGCAGAAAGGTATGTCTTTGCGCCTGAGTCCTGTTTTTCTCTCTCCTTTATCACCTCGTCCCCTACAAAAGGAACAGAGAATTTCAGGCATTCAGTCACTTGACAAGTATTTCATAGCTAAGTATTCAAAGATGACAAGTGATAGATGTTAGAGGTTCAAGTTTGGAAATCCTGCCATTTACTCCTCCTGTCTTCTGGGGTTTATGACCAATAGGGCTAAATACTGCGGAAGGCAGGATGGAGAATGAAACATCTTCTCCCCTTTCTTTCCAAAATGTTAAACAGCCCACCCAAGTGATAAACTGGTGAATGGCAGAGCCATGATTTGAATACAGACCTGTGTTCTTTTCAATGAAATTAAGCTGCTTCTCAGCCTGAGCAGGAACTAAGGACGTTTTCCTAAGATCACGTGACCAGAAAAATCCTTGAATGCTGTATCACGTTGATAAGTTTTCAAAAACCCTGATAAAATTTTTGCTGCCTTGCTCCAACATTTATTCACCTTTCCATCTGATGCCATGCTTATAAGCACATGGATTGATGATGAAATGCCGTATTGGACTTGGTATGAGAAGACACATAGCCACTGCTTCCTCACATGAAGCCAGAGATGACGGTGTGTTGTTCCCTCAGTATTTGGATTGTGCGTCTTCTCCAGTTACACAGCCATGCTGCAGTTGAAAGAGTACCGTTAACAATCAATAGGGCAACTGTATGGTTTAGGGATGTTTTCCCACCACTGGCCCTGGTAGTTTATTTCACATCTTCAAAAAACATGCATGATGTAGCCAGGTCAGTTATAATTATATCTGGCTGTGCACATTTGTTGTTGATCACTTATTTTGTTGTTCTCTTATTATCTTTGGTTTTAGTTCAGGGGTCAGCAGACTTTTTGTGTGTAAAGGGCCAGATAGTAAATATTTTTACCATTCACTTGTCTATCACTACTATTCAACTCTGTTCTTGTGTGAAATTGGCCATAAACAGTACCTGAAGGAATGAGCAAGGATGTGTTCTAATAAAACTTTATTACACAAACGGATTAATCTGGCCCTCAGGCTGTCACGTGCTGACTCCCATCCAGACTGTAGGCTCTCAACGGCAGAGACAGAAGTGCCTCCGCTGTGGTTTCTGGGAGGACTCTCTCCTTGACCGCCATCTTGCAGTGTCCGCATGGGGCCTCTCCTCTGTGCAGACACAGAAGAAGCTCTTAGGTGGTTTTTCCTCTTCTTATACGAACACGAGAACTGTCTGATTGGGGCCCCACCCATACAGTGTTATTTAACCTCAATCACTTCTTTAAAGGGCTTCCCAGGTAGCTCCGTGGGTTAAGAATCCACCTGCAATGCAGGAGTTAAAGAAGACACAGGTTCAATCCCTGAGCAGGAAGATCCCCTGGAGGAGGGCCTGGCAACCCACTCCAGTATTCTTGCCTGGAGAATCCCCTGGACAGAGGAGCCTGGCAGGTCGGAAAGAGTGGGAAATGGCTGAGCGACTAAGCAACAGCACCTCTTTAAAGGCCCTGTCGTCAAGCGCGGTCACGTTAAGAGTCAGGGCTGATCTTTCAGTTTGGCGGACGCGGTTCAGTCCATAATCCACAAGAAGGGTCTAAGCAGGAGAGAGGCATGACTCGGATGGACATGTGCAAGCTGGTGATGGGAAGTCCTGTTAGATTCCACCTGCGGCATTTAAGGAGCAGGACTGTGGCGTCCTGCGTTATGGTGGTGGCTGCGGGGATGAAGAGGAGGGAGTGCGTTGGAGGTGTGTGTGTGGGGAGAAATGTCTCAGAGCTGTCACACTTAAGTTACCTGTCTGTATCCCTCGGTAGGAGACATAAGAGACGCAGGTTTTCGAACCCTGGGTCGGGAAGATCCCCTGGAGGCGGGCATGGCAACCCACTCCAGTGTTCTTGCCTGGAGAATCCCGTGCACAAGAGCCTGGTGGGCTGCAGTCCATGGGGTCGCAAAGGTCAGACATGACTGAGTGCCTAACACTTTCATCCCTCAGTAACCTGGGTGGCGGCTCAGTTCCCAGTGTCTAAGGTCGCACTGTGTGCCTAGCAGATGCCCAGTGAAGGTTGAATGAATGCACAGGTGTCTGTGACAGGCTGGAGTGGTGGGGAGAGACATAAGGTTTCCAAACCCATTTTTTACGTAGTGCCTGCCTGACAAGGGTTATGATTTAGACCTGCAAAGCTGCTTGATGTCACCAAGGGCTTCAAGGAAATGATTTCTAATTAATTTTTCTTCGGTAGTCTACGATGACAGAGCTTAACTGTTCTTTGAGTGTCTGAATATCACACTCACACACACACAGCAGAGGGCTTCCTGCTCAGCTTAGAGCTCCCCGCCCAGCCTTCCAAGGCAGCCACACAGGTCTGGCCTGTGTCTGAATATCACACACACACACACACACACACACACACACACACACGGCAGAGGGCTTCCTGCTCAGCGTAGAGCTCCCCGCCCACCTTCCAAGGCAGCCCCACAGGTCTGGCCTGGAGCGGGTGTTTGGGGGTGAGTGGCTGGGTTGTGCAATAGCTTATTTTCTCTGGATCACATGGCCTGTGGTTATCGAGTCTATGCCTTTTCGTTTGTCTCCTCCAAACTCAAAGGACTGGATCTAATCTTAACATGGGAAATAAACACACAGACACTGGCAGTAATGATGACAAAATGATCACTTACGAAGTGTTTCTATAGAATGCATTTATGCCACTCACCTGGATACTTAAACATGGTTAAAATGGTAAATGTATGTTGTGTGTGTTTATTATTAATAATATGGGCTTCCCATATTATTGGCTCAGATGGTAAAGAATCCACCTGCAATGCAGGAGACCTGGGTTCGATCCCTGGGTTGGGAAGATCCTCTGGAGAAGGGAATAGCTACCCACTCCNGGAGCCTGGTAGGCTACAGTCCATGGGGTCTCAAAGTGTCGGACACGACTGAGCGACTTCACTTCAAACCATAAAGCTGCAAGTAAGGCCCATTAAGCAAGTGTAAAATCTCAAGAAACAGCCATTTACTAACCCATAGAAAATTAGGAAAGAGAGAAAATGTTTTACTTGGCAGTTAAAGGTTTTAACCCTGAATCTGCCTGTCCTTAAGGCTACTCATGTTTTGTAGTAGTCTAGTATTTTACCTGGCTTCCCTGGTGGCTCAGTGGTAAAGAACCTGCCTGCAAATGAAGGAGTTGTGGGTTCAATCCCTGTGTTGGGAAGATCCCCTGAAGAAGGAAGTGGTAACCCTCTCCAGTATTCTTGCCTGGAGAATACTGGAGGGGCCAGATGGGCTATAATCCATGGGATCGCAAAAGAGTCAGACAAAACTTAGCGACTAAACAACAGCAATAATCGTTGGATATCCATGTTGCTTCTGGGATTTATTTTAAATAATATTGGACAAAATCCTCACTTAAATATTTCAACATATCTTAGATGTACACTTATGATTATAAAAATTTAGATGTTTAAGATACTAGATTTGGTATAAAGCCTGCAGCCAGCTAAATAGTTCCACTCAAGGCAACTCACCTTGATAAAAATATCTAACAAACTATAACATGAAAGTGGAATATAAAAGATATCTCCTTGGAAAGCAATTGTCCTTGCTTCCAAATTTCAGTAAATATTTTACAAGTTGTCCAGTGTTGTAAAGGTTTGGTTTTCTCCTCTGTAGCCTACAAATAATAATACCTTCACTGTGCTGAAAGTTTCAAGGAGTCAGTGTTTACAAAGCATTTCATTCAGAGTCCCTCAGGCAGTTAACACTAAATAAATGTGAGCTGCCACTATCAATGATATCGAGTACATGTAGGTAGGTATGATGCTTATGTATCAGTAAATAATGCCTGAAAGTATATATATTCCTAATGTAAATATATTCCTAATTTGAATATAACTGAGGTTGCACTTGGAACTTGTATAGTGTCACTTTATGCGGTGGTGTATACACAAACACAAATTCTAAATATAAGGAGTGGGTGGTGACAGTTAGGAAAATAGGCTAGAATGTGTTTTCAAGAAGCCATTAGGAAAATTTGAGGACTAAGCTGGTATTTAAAGTACATCACACAGTAAAAGCTCAGAATATTAATGTTAATAGCAACCAGATATTGTAGGACAGTGGTTTTCAAACTTTGAAAGCAGGGCACAGTGAAACAGATCACCAGCCCAGGTTGGGTACATGAGACAAGTGCTCGGGCCTGGTGCACTGGGAAGACACAGAGGGATTGGGTGGAGAGGGAGGTGGGAGGGGGGACTGGGATGGGGAATACATGTAAATCCATGGCTAATTCATTTCAATGTATGACAAAAACTACTGTAATGATGTAAAGTAATTAGCCTCCGACTAATAAATGGAAAAAAAAAATAAAATTTAAAAAAAAAAAAAAAGAAAAGAAAGCAGGGCACACTTCCCAAGAGAAATTCAATTCCAATAAGACCCACAATGCAAATAAACGTATGCATGTGTCAGCTTTGTAAAAGTGTTTAGCCAAACAGTACTCTCTCCATGCCTGCTGTACTCTGATATTTTAAAATCTGTTTCATTTTATTTTAATGTTGGTTGTGAACCGATTAAACTTGCTGGGTAGAGACGCACAATTTGAAATAAAACCTTAAAGCTTGTATACCCTTAAAAAAAGTTGGCAGCTACATTATTGTTGTTGTAAATTCTCACCCAAGCATTTTATCAATAATGAATGGTTTTGTTCTTATTTGCATGATAAGTTGAGCTTTGGGGTTCCTTCATCAGTCTAATTTCCATGTGGGTAAATAACGTTCTGTCAAAAGCATCATAAGCGAATGCAGGAAGAATTCAGCCGAAAACTAGGCACGGGTCCTATTTCACCCTGGTTTCCCTCTTTTAAACCAGGTAGTTCCAATTTGCCAGCAAAATGAGTACAGAAAGAGACTCAGAAACAACGTTTGATGAGGATTCTCAGCCTAATGATGAAGTGGTTCCCTACAGTGATGATGAAACAGAAGATGAGCTTGATGACCAGGAACCTGCGGTGGAACCACAGCAGAATCGGGTTAACAAGGAAGCGGAGGAAACCCGGGAGCCGTTCAAAAAAGGTATCGCGCTGGGATCTGGAGGCCAGGCAGCCGTCCTCATGTGGGCAGTAGCAACAGGTGCAAAGGACGGATGCTCCGGGAGGCATCTTCTTTCTCTCAGCTTGGGATGAAACTTGATGGGCTGGGACCAGCACACGCTGTCCTCAGTGTGGTAGGCTGGCGGACCGAGGCTGTCAAGCTCTGCAGAGGAAACAGAAGGTTCTCGCTTCGTGTCTCTCTTTTTAGAAAGGAGCTGAGTCTGGGAGAATTTGCTTGTTACCACAGCCAGGAACCTCGGAGTCACTGTAACGCTTGTGAATATAGAATGGTTTTGACTTTTTAGTAACAGGGGCAGAATGTGTAGGTCTCTGTCACGAGGGGCTATGATGCAGTAGAGCGCTCCCTGCCCCGAATCAGCGCCGCTTCAAGGCCGGCTCTGGACCACGGAGTGGCAGACGTTTTCCAAGGGACGGGCAGTAGCTATTTCAGGCTCTGGGGCTCATACAGTCTCTGTCACAACTTACCGCTGATGTTTCTTGAAAACGGCCATAGACAGCCTGTCATTCGGGGTTATAGAATGTAGCTGACTTTCATGGTTGTGCTTTTTTTCCTCCCATGACTTTTCTATTTCATTTCCTACTAGTTCTCCCACCCTGCGAACACATGCGGTCTTTTCTTCTAGCGCTTCTGCTCCAGGAGGAAGCCGATCCTTTGGTCTTGACACCCCAGATTTGCACCATAGTTCAAGTTGAAAATGTTTTCCTCCCTGGTCCAGCGACATAACTGGTTTCCCATTCACAGAAATTGCCAGGAAGTTGTTCTCTTTCTGCCTCTCCTGCTATGCCTGGTTCCAGCCTCAGTCAGAATAACCTCTGGTTTTGTCTGGCTTCCCTGTCATTGCCGACCCCCTTCCAGGCCTGCCAGAAGCCTGCTTCTCTTATGCTTCCCTGCCCCCGGTCTCTCCCTGCAGGATTCTGCTGCCTGTTAAGCTGATTTGTTTGTTTTCCAAAGAGGTTTCACCTGTAGAAAAACAGATACAGCACGAAATCCCACTGATGTAGTGATTCCTTCTGCTCTGCTCAGATGGTGTCCATCTTCTGCTCCGCTGTGTGGGGAGGTCTTGATGGGGAGGTGATGTGGACGTGTGCCCACGAGGGCTGCCTCTCACCACAGGCTCTGAAACTTAGGGAGGCCGTCTGCTCAACTACATCGTTGTCCCCTCCTCAGCTTTCTGCATCAAACACTGAGCAGCATCAGGTCTTCCTGTGGATGTCTGGCTGTGATTTTAAGCTATTGAGCCTTCTCAGAAGGCACTGAAATCTCTATAATTGAGCTTTGTTGAAATGGAATCACTGCCAGTCTGATGAGGAATGTGGCCTCTGTCATAACAGGTCCAGACTGGATAGTGTTTGAATGGGGATAAGGCAGAAGTCGCCGGACGAGTTAGCAAGGGGAGTTCTAGTTGATTGCCCAGATAGTAAATAACATGTTTCTTCCTCATTCCTTCTCCCACTGTACTTTTTAAGTTTTATATAACCATCATGGAATCTACCCTATGTAGGTATCTGATGAGCTGGCTGAGAATGGGCTTGGTGCGTGTTGGGGTGAACTTTGCCGTGGGGCTTGCCACCATGTTATCAGATGTGTGGTCCAGGACGAGGAAATGGACAGGGTTGGGTGCCTGTGGAATTGTCGGAGGGGCACAGAGTGGGTGAAAATGCTCACCTCTGTTTTTTTCCAGCTCTGCCTTCACATTCTACTGCCGAGGGCTTTTTGCTGGTCATGCGGCTCCCAGGTCATTTCTCGTAGATTGCTACCCTCAGAACACAGGCACTGCAGGGAGCTCAGACTTGATCTTGGCACTGTTCAGAGTCTTTTCCAAGGATAGGGGAATTTGGTGTCTCTCAAAACCCCTTTCAAGTGACTTTTAAAATATCATTATTATTATTTTGACCAAGAGACCACTAGTTCTTGACCAGGGATGGGACCCAGGCCCCAGCGATGCCAAGTGCTAACCAGTGGACAGCCAGTGGAATTCCCAAGTGTTATTATTCTGACCCCTCTGTATGCCCTTCCTAGACACAGAGGACACTCAGGAAGTGCTTGACCCCTTTCCTTTTGCGCCTGCTTCTACCCTGCACCCCAGCAACCAGCCCGCATCCTCTCCTCCCCCCCTCCCTTCTTCCTCTGCGTCCTTCTTTCCCCCTCTTAATTTTCCCACATATTCCTAGAGACCACTAGTTCTTGACCAGGGATGGGACCCAGGCCCCAGCGATGCCAAGTGCTAACCAGTGGACAGCCAGTGCAATTCCCAAGTGTTATTATTCTGACCCCTCTGTATGCTCTTCCTAGACACAAAGGACACTCAGGAAGTGCTTGACCCCTTTCCTTCCGCTCCTGCTTCTACCCTGCACCCCAGCAACCAGCCCGCGTCCTCTCCTCCCCCCCTCCCTTCTTCCTCTGCGTCCTTCTTTCCCCCTCTTAATTTTCCCACATATTCCTACTTGGGCATTTTCCCAGTACAGATCATTGTCTTTTTAACTGTCATCTGTCTGTCTTGACATTTTACATGAAGGACAATTTTCTTCAAAGAGCTCGCTTCTTTAGAATACAGAGCGGGAGTCACTCTGAAGTGCCCTCCAGCTGAGTGATACCAGGGACCCGGGCCTCTTCTAGCAGAGCAGTGTCTAAGAGTGTGTGAACCACGTTCATTTTTCTTAACCATATTTTAGTGCAGAAAGTTGGTTCTCTCTTTTTTTTAAAGATGCTTAGCCCCACTCTAGTAAGCAAGTGTTTTGAGAGACCCATTCCAAGTACTTTTCAGTTGAAGGACATTTCTCGTGTGCTGCAAGAATCAAGAACAGATGTAAGCCTGCTGTCAGAATGGGCCTTGAGGGGAGAAAAAGCCGCAGATTTTACTAACGTCTGTGTACCCTTGGTTTCCTTCGCGCAACTGTTGACAAAACTCGGGGGGAATGTTTCCATGTGATGGGATGGACATTCTCTTGTGAACACACAAGAATGGTATGTCCCAAGTATGTTCTGGGAAACACTGTTTCTACCAGATATTTCTGGACACAGAGATTCTTTGGTCCCTGAGACTGGAAACCCAGAATTCTTTATCCTGTTGAAGTTTAAGTTTATCCATTAGCATACAAGAATCCCAGAAAGCTTTGACTCTAAAGAAACCAGTTTAATTTTATTCAGTCGCAGGTTCCTGCAATTCCTTGACTCTAGGTGGTGTGTTGGCTTGTTTGCGTATGTAGCTTACCCCTCCACCCTCCTGGTAGCCCCAGGTCACCTCCTTGGGTAGCTCTGTGCCAGTCGGGAACCAGCGTAGAGATGGAGGTCTTTGGGAATGAACACATGCCCTGTGCTAGCACACTGGCTCACTCTTCTGAGCCTGGGGATGGGACGAGAAAGCCATCTCCTGCCTCCGAGGCCGTGTTGCTTGGTGAGTTAACCCTGCCCTCTTCTCGCACTGGCTGGCTTACAAACGCATGTTACCGCGTCCCTTCCTGCAGCAGACTCCTACCTGGATCCTGCTTTCTGCCTCGGGCGGCTGTCCTGTCTCCTGTTCTCCTGCAAACCCATTTCTCTACCATCACAGCCCTCTGTTCCCCCGGTCCCTCCCCTCCGCGGGACACCCCAGCTCCCTAAGGATGACGCTTTCGGCAAGATCACCAAGAACCCCAGTGCCCGCTGCAGGGCCTCTTTGTCAACCTTCTCTTCCCGCGTCCGTCTGCTCTGAAGCACGCGACCTTGACAGCCTCTCCTTCGGGAAGCGGGCCTCCCTAACGGGACTGCACTCTGGCCCCGACACTCCTGTTCTTCCTCTCTTCGGCTACTCTCCACTCAACCTTCTCTTCCCGCGTCCGTCTGCTCTGAAGCACGCGACCTTGACAGCCTCTCCTTCGGGAAATGGGCCTCCCTGACGGGACTGCACCCTGGCCCCGACATCCCTGTTCCTCCTCTCTTCGGCTACTCTCCACTCAACCGTTAAGGTGTTCCCGCTCCCGGTCACGCTTCCTTCTCTGTCTGCAGGCCTGCCTGTGGCAAGCTCATTCTCCTCACTTACTGCGTCTCTGTTCGTGACTCAGAGAGGTGGTGAATGTCCTGGTATGCAGGGAGGATGCTGGGTGCTGGCTGTGAGGATTTCAGCCTTGGCTTCATCACTTTCTAGCTCTGTGACCTTGAGGGAAGGACTTCTTTCTCTGTGCCTCAATTGTCCCCATCTGTGAAATGGACCTAACGTGAGTACCGACCTCATCGGGTGGTTGGCTGTGAAGACTAAATCAGAAAGTAAGTGGGAAGGAATGAGAACAGTTTCAGGTATGCCGTAAAAGCTCAGTCCATACTGGCTGTTACCACCCTCGCCTGTCACCCCCTCTCTCATCTTTCCGCCATCAGATCATCTTCTTGACCCTTCTGCTTCCCTCTGGGGTGTTCAGATTTTCCTGAAACACCCCCAGGCTGAAGCTGCTGGGTCATTCTTTTTAACGGATCCTTCCATCCTCAAGTCTAAGCACAGTGAATGGATGGAGAGATGGATGGGCTGAAGAACAGTTAATTTCTCAGCAATGCGCTCACCCACATATGTAAAGAAACTTCCAGTGATTTAGTGCGTTCCCTACCTCTGCCGTCTTCGAAGCCTCTCCTGTTGGTTCAGCCTTCTCTGTTTTTGCAGACATGTTACCGTCCTGCTGACCCCACCCCCAGGCTTCCCCGTACCTCACCGGCTTCTCAGATAAAACCTTAGACTGAGTCTTGGGTCACTGAGGAAAGGCGAGCGGCAAGTTGACCGGTGTGGTCTCAGGGGCAGGGCGTGCCAGGGTGAGGCGGCGGGAAGGAGGGCTCCCTGGGGCTGAGAGTCCGGGAGGCTTCTAGCCATCTTGGAGCTTGATGATGGGCGGGGCGGTGGCCGTGCTGAAGGGTTCGGACACTTTGCTGAGGGCGTTGGGGGCCACGCCAGCAGTTTAGGCTGAACACAGGGCCCCTCCCAGTGCTGCCGCTGTGCTCTTCCTCCTCTCACCCGCCGCCATCCCTGCAGAGGGCTGCCCTGCCCTGGGATTGGATTCCACCTGCTTCCCCTGCTGGCTCAGGCCTGGGCGACTGGGCCCTGTCTTCCTCTCCGGCGGAGGTGGCTACGTGCAGCTTGCAGCCTTATTTGCATGTTTGATTTGGAATGGAATGCAGCATGTATTTGTGCGTGTATGTGGACTTATTCAAAGATACTTTTAAGATTTACTCATTGTTGAATGCAGGTGTGTTTCTTCCCCATGACTGCATAAGTTTCCATCTTTTCCTGTCTTCTCCTCTCTCGATTTATTCCCACTCACCATCCCATTGTCTTTTGGGATAATATTTTTTTTTAATTGACTTTTTTTTGGCTGCACCACATGGCTTGCGGGATCTAATTTCCCTAACCAGGGACTGAACCTGAGCCCTTGGCAGCAAAAACTTGGAGTCCTAACCACTGAACTGCCAGGGAATTCCCTTGAATAATATTTTCAAAAATATTAAACATAATGGCATCATGACCACAAGAAAATCGGGCAACTTACATATATTGATTTAAACCTACTTATTATGTAATTAACCTATTATAAACATATTTATTGTCATCCTATAAAGGGAAAGAATTGAATTACAAAGGATTTTTTCCCCCAAAGGTAATAGTATTGATAAAAGGGTACAGAAGGAAAATGAACTCCCCCACCCTGCCTCTTCTGCGTCTGCTGTTGCCCACTTCTCCTGTGTCCTTCTGGAGATATACACATACCACTTTGTGCAAAGGTTACTTTCAAACACGAGACCTTACGTACCCATAGACACATATACACATGGTCACACGTGTGCAATTGTGTGTGCATGCCTGCACCCCTACTGTGCGCTCATTCCGTGTGTTACATGCCTGCGTGGCCAGGGTCATTTGACGATCTCCCCTGTCATGATGTACATATAAAGCTCCCTCATTCTTGTTTGTGGACCACACAGACTTTCATCGTGTAGATGTTTAACCAGCTGCTCGCAGTGGTATTTCGGCTATTTCTAATCTCCCTGATGAACAGGGCTGCAGTGACTAGCCCTGAGACACGTTATTTCTTTATCCGAGTGTACGCACACGCAGTGAGCGTGTCTGTTGACGTTTGATAGATGTGGCCAACTTGTCCTCTGCAGAGACCACATAAGAGGACCTGTTTCTTTTGCCTTTGTGGGATGAAAATGGGTACTTTATTGAAGAACTGTCCTTGTTTTTTGATGAACTTGGGTATCTTTTCATATTTTTAAGAGCCATTGAATTTCTCTTTGTATAAATGGTCTATTTGTTCTTTACCCATTTCCCTCTTGGGTTGGTTTTTTTGTTTGTTTGTTTTTTGATGCTAAACTTTTGATCATTTAACTCTCCTGGTTTGCTGTAGCCTGTACCAACTAATACAGCTTTTTGGTTGCAAAGTTGTCTATGATCGAGAGTTCAGAATGAGGGGTCAGGTAAAACTGACTTTCTCTGCCAGATGTTGATGATCAAAGGTGACCCTGGGAACACTTAACATCATGTGGCCATATTTGCATGTATTAAATACATGTTTTTCAGGTGATTTTGAGCCGGTGGCTGATGGTAAATGCATTGATGATTTTATTAGGCACAACCCTTGTGAATTAATTTCCTTCTTGCTTTTAACCAAAGGGTCATCAGGTGAAGGTGAATTTTTTTGTTGGTTAGTATATTCTGTTTTCTTGGTCAATATTTCCATTCTAGAAAATGGTACAAGATAAAATATCTACTTTTTCTATAAATTAGCCTTGGGGTCCAAGTGTCCAGTAAGGTTCTCTGTTTTAACTGGGTACTTAGTAAATGTTTGATCCAAAACATGAATATTTCCAAGTGCTATTTTGCCACCTTTCTTAAAGGCATGTGCTTAACACAACACTTCTCAAATGATATTAATAGGTGTTCTGTGATATTTTTTTTAAATGTGCCCCTGGTCACATTAATTTTGAAAAGATTGGATTAAATAAAATTAAATAAGCCCTTTACTATAGGACTTCTCAGAGACTTTAATACACCAGTGGGTCCATTGAATGTCCAAGAGGAGGATGTTGGATACTGTGTTTCACAAATGTATTTGACCACAGAAACTGTTTTCACTTTCTTTTTTTTTTTTTTTGGTTCTTAATTTTTTTTTGGCTCTTAATTTCTTTTTCATTTATTTTTATTAGTTGGAGGCTAATTACTTTACAATATTGTAGTGGTTTTTGCCATACATTGACATGAGTCAGCCATGGATTTACATGTGTTCCCCATCCTGCATTTTCACTTTCTTTATGGTCTCTCATTGAACTGCTCCTCAAGCAGTTAGCATGAAACTCAGGAAAGTATCAGGGAAAGCAATTGGTTTCTTTTTCAACTGAAATTAGGCCAAATTTGTCTGAATTAGGCCAAATGAGGAACCCTGTTAGAAATAGTTATTTTGATTACTTGACAGTAATCAGATTTCTGAAATTAACTACAGATGCTGCTGTGGTTAAGCTCCGGGTGCAGCAGACGAGGACCCCAGTTACTTTCTCCAGGCTCTCCATGGTGTTATTCACAGTGTGAGATTAGGAGACCAAGGTCATTTCTGATGAACCTCCACTGCCCTACTTGAGGTCAGATACCACCTTCAGTCTGAAGCATCCCAATCAAACCGGGCTGGAGGTGAGGGGGTCATGTGGAGACAGAGGAACCGTTGGCTGCAGGACTTAATTATGAAGCAATTTTTTATTTTTTAATTTTATTTTTTATGAAGCAAATTTAAGGAGCCACAAGGGGGGCAAAGAATCCAGTGCATGAACAGGGAGGCTTATTCTTTCCTCTTGAGCACTTCTGACTTTGGGATTTATCCCTTCTCATTGGTCATTTCTTCCTTTTTAAGGAATCTTAATTATTTTTCTTTTCAACCTTCCTGAGTTTTCAAATAGCAGTTCTCAGAGGTGTTCTAGAACACTGGTGACCAGGGATATGTCACGAGTCATCTTAGAGCCAAATGAAACCGTTAACAGTTTGCAGATTACCATAGAATAGAATGAGGAGGGCACGGCAACCCACTCCAGTCTTCTCGCCTGGAGAATCCCACGGACAGAGGAGCGTAGTGGGCTTCAGCCCACGGGGTCGCAGAGAGTCAGTCGGACACGACTGAAGCGACAGCACACACACACACATTTTATAAACCAAGTAAAGGAGTTTGAAGAAGTAACTGAATTTGGCTGTGACCTTCTGGGGCTCTGGGGTTTTTGTTCAGGCCATGTTTAAATGAGGATTTCTCTTTTAGAATCAATGTTCTATGAACAGTGGTCACTTTATAACACGGGCATTGGTTTGCTCAGGCCGCTCTAACAAATTACCATGAACTGAGTGACTTGGAGTGTGTCATGTCACCGTCTGGGAAGCCAGAAGTCAGATCGGTGTGTTGCGGTGTGCTGATTCCTTCTGAAGGCCGTGAGGCTTCCCTCACAGGTCTGTTCAGGCCTCTCTCCGTGGCTCGGCTGCCTTCCCTCCAGGGGTGTCTCTGTGTCCTGGTCCTTTGATTATAAGGACGACAGTCGTGTTGGATTAGGGTCGTCTCTAATGACCCCACTTGAACTTAATTGCATCTGAGTGACTGTTTCCAAATAAGGTCATGCTCTGAGGTACAGGATGGGGTTAGAGCTTTGATGTGTGAATCTAGGAAAGACATAATTCAACCCATAGCAACAGGCTAATTTTCTCTTTCTTTTTTAAAGACTGTACATGGCAAGTCAAAGCCAATGATCGGCGCTTCCATGAACAACCTCAGTTTATGAACACAGTATTCTTTTGCATTAAGGAGAGCAAATATGCGGTAAGTTGATTTTAATCAGTTAGCTTTATTAAAAGCCAGTTTTTTTTTCCCCCAGTAGCCATGATGCTTACTTGCTTTATGTGACACCTACCTTTCAGGTAACCCCTGGCCAGGGGCCATTGACAGTCACTGTTAGTTCCCTAGAATGTCATTTTTTAAATTGAAGTATAGTTGATTTACAATGTTGTATCAGGGTTTGCTGTACAACAAAGTGATTCAGTTTATATATATATATATATATATATTTTCTTTAAAAAATTCTTTTCCATCTGGTTTATCCCAGGACATTGAGTAAGACTTCGTTGTTTATCCACCCTATATATAATAGTTTCCATCTGCTAGCTCCACACTCGGAGTCCATTCTCCTTGGCAGTCACAAATCTGTTCTGTATGTCTGTGAGTCTGTTTCTATTTCACAGATAAGGTCATTTGTGTCTTATTTCAGATTTCCTAGAATGTCCTTTTTTCTCATCACAGTAAGATGAACTACTCTAAGGGTGTATGGGGCAGTGTGAAACAAAACAAAGTTGATTGAAATTTTCCCTCTGAATATACAAAGCTCTTTTTAAAAAATTTTATAAAAGAGCATACAGTAATATCACAGATGCCTTGCTCTTTGACAGTAATAAGAATTTGAAAGGAATCTTGGTAACTTATCTCTCCATCCTTGGCCTGTGATGGATTCAGAGACTTTGAAGATATTTTCGCCCCAAAAATGCTTATTACCATTGAAATATAAAGAACAGGAGCCAAGTCTGGGCTGAAGTGTGGTCTGTTAGATTCCTGGGACTGTTCCACAGAATACCGCCAACTGGGTGGTGTAAAACAGCAGAAGTTTATTCTCTTACAAATTGAAAAGGCCCGAAGTCTAAAATCAAGGGCTGATTCCTCCTGGGGGATCCACGGGAGAGACTGCTGCAGACTTCTTGGTTTCTGGCTGACGGCCCCGGATGCTCCTTGGCTTTACATCACTCCAGTCTCTGTCTCCCTGTATATTTCTCTGTGCCCAGTTTTCCTCTATGAAGGCCAGCAGGCCTAATCATTGGATTAGGCCTTATCCACCTTAATCCAGCGTGACCTCACTGTAATTGATCCCCTTGGCAAAGACTGTATTTCCTAATATTTGGTCGGCCAAAAAGTTCGTTCGGATTTTTCTGTCCCATCTGATGGGGAAACCCGAACTAACTTTCTGGCCAACCCAGTAAGATGACCATCGCGGGTCACAGGGTCAGAACTTGAGTGTATCTTTGCGGGGCACACAATTCAACCCACACCTGTGTCTTTTACTCTTACACACCCTCCATTGCTCTTATAAGAATGTTCCTTTTCCACCCATGTTGACCCTTCTCATTTACTGCTCATCTCTGCCCTGTTTTCTGAGAGGCCCTAAGAGATCAGGGAACCAACAGCAGGATCTGTTTGCTCACAGTGGGAGTTGCCAAAGAAGCCTTGGAGGTGAAATGTCTGTGTCTTGTGACTTTCTCTGACATAAGCCTCCAAGGCGTCATTTCCAGGCCCAGTTAAAAGTAAAAACTTAAAGAAAATCTCAGTATCTTTCAAACAAATTATATCCTTGTGTGTCTGTAGGCCACAGGACTGATTTTTGTGTCTGGGCTGCCCTGGTAGCTCAGCTGGTAAGGAATCCACCTGCAATGCAGGAGACCCTGGTTCCATCTCTGGGTTGGGAAGATCCCCTGGAGAAGGGATAGGCTACCCTCTCCAGTATTCTGGTCTGGAAAATTCCATGGACTGTATAGTCCATAGGGTCACAAAGAGTCAGACACAACTGAGCGACTTTCACTTTCACTTCATACATTGTGTATTGTGGTAAGTGTGGGACCATTTAGAATGATTTTCTCATTTTTTCCAACAGAATAATGCAATTAAAACATACAAGTACAATGCGTTGACCTTTCTACCAATGAATTTGTTTGAGCAATTTAAGAGAGCGGCCAATTTCTATTTCCTGGTCCTTCTCATCTTACAGGTAATAATACCCTTTGATGTCTTAAATCTGTTTTGAATTACGATGACTCAGTAACGTTCAGGTTGTTAGTGTTTAAATTGTATATAAAATCTTGAAAGTTTTCTATATGATCATCTGGGTTCTGGATGCAAGAGACTAACACCCAGAATCACTTCATGAACAGTGTTACATGAACACTGAACCTGAGCACATGCAAATGTTATTTTACTTCTGTATTTTAAAAAGTTCGGTTTCATACTGAGGTCAAAGTTAAAACATACTGATGTCATTGTTAAAACTGGTTTTCCTGAAGTGAGTCAAGTTCAAATGTTCACTTTGTGAAACAGTTGTACCTTAAAATTAAATCTATTTTTTATGCTTGGCTTTTATTTTTTATTTAGTTGCCAAAAGGTTATTGACTTTTATTAGGATTTTGGTCATAATTCTCATAATTATTTTATGACCTGGTTTTACACCAAAAAGGCCTATTTTTTTTTTCTTTGCCTACTTGGGCAAGAAGTCCACTTAATCTGGAGGGCATTACTTTTATCTGTCTCGGAACTGTTCTACAATCAAAGAAACTATATACCCTCTAGTTGCCACTCAGAGTTTCCATTGTTAGCACTTGATGTGCTGGTTTCAAAGGATGGCGTCTCCAATTGGTTTCATCAGATTCTTTATGTCAAGTGTTTCATTTGGAAAATAGTCTCACCTGCTGGGATTCGCCCAATGTAGTTTAGTGAAACTGTAACCTGTGTGTCTGAGTGGAGATGGCGGATGCACAGGTGGAGGGAAGATGCAGGAGGGAGAACTAGACCCTCAGCAGGTTTAGTAGAACCTGAGACCTGCTGACTTGATCATAAGGGGTGGTCTTATCGAGCGGGACCTTAGGGACAGGCTTGTGTAGACAGAAACACTGCTAAGTTTACAGTACTGCTGCATGACGAGTGGGCCACTTTCCCTTCCTTCGTTCTAGAAGGAAAAGGGGCGTTCTACCTTATTATAGTCACAGTAACGTGGGACATGAGCTTCCTCCCCCCCATCTCCCCACACCTTGGTTATCCTTCCTGAAGGCACAGAGGTCCAGGTGAGGATGCTGGTAACAGCCTTAGCCCTTTGCTCACACTCTTTCTTCACGTAATTCTTATAGTCTGCGAGATTAAGGATTGGGTTGGCCGGAAAGTTCATGTGAGTTTTTCTGTAACGTCTGTCTCTGTCTCTAGGCTCTGATCCAGGAAGCCAGAAGCTAGAGAGAGAGGCAGGAGAAGGGCTAGCTGGATGCTTCAGCACCGTTCCATGCCTGCTGTGCAGGATGCCAACTGGATGATGGTGGAGATTAGGCTTAGCGTCAGCGGTTGCCTGTAGCTCTGCTGTGTCTTCCTGGGCACACACGCCTGCCCTCTTTTAATCTCTTTCAGGCAATCCCTCAAATCTCGACCCTGGCATGGTACACCACGCTGGTGCCCTTGCTTGTGGTACTGGGTGTCACGGCCATCAAAGACCTCGTGGATGACGTGGTAAGGATTCCTCATGCAACCGTCTCCTCACCGCAGCAAGCGTATTTTCTAGTGGCATTCATAACTCGCCATTTTGAGATGATTAAAATAACCTCTCCCCATCCCTCCTCTCAAGGCGCGCCATAAAATGGACAAGGAAGTCAACAACAGGACGTGTGAGGTCGTTAAGGACGGCAGGTATGCGCCTTTTGGAGCGCGTGACTTTTCATCCAAGGAGGTAACATACAAATGCATCTAGAAGCGACCTTAGAGGAACTTGGAAGTCTAACGGCACATTAACCTCTTCCTTGTAAAGGCCTCTCACCACTTCCGAAGACAAGGCTATCCCCAGGTTGCAGTGTAGGCAGTTGCCTTCTGGAGGTCTGTGTCCTCAGCCTGCCTGAGTTTCCTTCAGCCTGGAGTGTGTGACTCCATCTCCGCTCTCCCCCAGCGATTTGCCCAAATGTCCTGAAACCCCTCCTGAATCCCCAGCCGCAGTGGTCTCTCCCTTTGCTGGGCTTTCAGAGCTTTTTGTTTTCATCTTTCTTGTTATGATCTGAGTTTTATTAGAATTAGTTGTATAGGAATCTCAAAAAAAAAAAAAAAAAGGAATTGTTTGTATAGGAATCTCATCATCTGCAGTATCTCTGAGGTCTGCCCATGCTATATTTTAAATTTTTTTAAGTGTTCATTTGTTAGACAGTCAAATGGGTATTTCCAGGAGACTTTAATATCAAAGGAAGCAATCTTTTTATTTTATTAATATTCTTATGAGATTTATTAGAAAAGTGATACACTCATTAAAGAGATAAGTTTAAACAATAGAGAGGAGACAAGAACTAGACTTGGGGACTTCCCTGGCGGTCCCGTGGCTAAGACTCCAGGCTCCCAATGCAGGGGACCCAGGTTCGATCCCTGGTTGGGGAACTGGATCCCACATGCCACAACTAAGAGTTTGCATCCCACAGCTAAAGATCCTGCATGCTGCAATAAAGATCAAAGATCCCAAGTGCTGCAACTAAGACCCAATGCAGCCAAATGTATATAAAAACTAAAGCATCATGAGCATTCCAGACGGCTATGTGGGATCCATAATGCTTCCCTCTCCTGGGATCAGCAGGCGATGGATAGCTGAGTGGAAGGAAGCAGAATGACTGGGAACGTAGGACATGAGCAAAAACAAAGGGGTGGCGTGTATCTCCTTCCTGCACATTTAAGGAGCCCCCGCTGACCCCCCAGTTACACAATGTAGAATGGAAAGGAACACACCAAAGTTAGCGCCGCCTTTGTTTCTTCCTCCAGAGGAGAAGATGAGCTTCATGACCCCTTAATCATCAGCTGGCTGACCTTCCCCTGGGGTGTGCATGTTTTCCCAGAATTTTTGGCTACCAGACAGCATCATCCAGATCCCCTGCCAGTAACTTGAAGACTGCCACTGAACTATCATTCTTTTCTACATTCAGGTTCAAAGTTGCCAAGTGGAAAGACATTCAAGTCGGAGATGTCATTCGCCTGAAAAAAAATGACTTCATCCCAGTAAGTGGGCTCAAGCTCTGCGCTCTCATTGCTCCCCTTCCTCTGACCTGGCGTTCGGTTCTGCCTCTGGCGTGGGGGTCTGTGTTACTGGTGTGTTTCGTTTCAAACAGGCTGACATCCTGCTGCTGTCGAGCTCTGAACCTAACAGCCTCTGCTATGTGGAAACGGCCGAACTGGATGGGTGAGCGGGCCTTAGGCGGGCGGGTTGGGAAGCTTACCTGTGGAAGGCTGACCGTGGTTATGTGAAACTTGTGCACTTGGACAGGAAGCCCTGAGGTCTGGCCTTACTTCTACCCCTGGATACCCAGCAGCCTCTCCTTAGGAGACCAGCCTCTCTGTCTTTGCCTTTTTCCCTAGTGAGTACCTGGTAGGACAAGCAGGAAGTCAGCAGTGGTCTGACTCCCTAGTAGGCCAACTTCTCTGCCTTATTCTGTATTTGCGAGCCTGTCTCTCAGGGAAAGCAAAGCTCTGATGACGGAATGTGTGCCTGAGCCCTTTACCGGCCGCTGAGCAGAGTCAGACACTGACAAACGGTTGCTAGTAACTATTTTGGGGGGAAAAAAAAGTAGATTTTTAAAGTCTTTGCCAGTAGACAGTTTCCTCCCTTTGTTGGTTTTTGTTACTATGCTACCACTTGAAAGGATTTTTTTTTTTTACCATTTTGACCAGTTTTCAGTACATTTATGCAATACCTACTAGGTTGCAATAGTTTTACATGGTAGGTCATTTGATCCTTTTTTTTTTTAGTTAAGAAAATCATTATTATTGGCTGTACTGGGTCTTAGTTACAGCCTGAGGGATCTTTAGTTGCAGCACGTAAGATTTAGTTCCCCAACCAGGGACCAAACCCAGGCCCGCTGCGTTAAAGACGTGTCGTCTCAGCCACTGGACCAGCAGGGAAGTTCCTCATTTAATCTTTTCAGCAACCCTATGAGGTGTGTGTTATCACCTTGATGTAACTCGGGAGGAAACTGAGGCCCTGGAGGTGAGGTCACCCGCCCAAGATCACACAGCGGGTGGCAGAGTTGGGGCGCTGCTCCCCTCTGTTCACCCCCGAGGCCGCTGCCTGTGTTCCTCTCTTGGCGTCAGCCCCTTTCTCACACCCACAATGAGCATAAGCTTCTATGGAGAGCTGAGATCATCCGAGTAACAGCGAGGTCTGTCTTTGGTCTATAAATCAGTCGGTTGATCATTCAACCTAAACTGTAAAACAGCTCTTATTCCCACAAGTGAGAGATCCTGAAGTTTTGCAAAGATATAAACTCCTAGTGTGCCCTTTTGGAGCAAACAGAATGGAAAGTTGAGAACTACAGGTCCAGTTCTTAGTAGATGGGAATCCCCAGTCGGTCTTCGGGGGGCTTGAAAACTGAACAAGCGTGGCTTGTTCCCCAGAGTGCGTGTGCCCAGCCTGGCCCTGGGGGTCCTCTTGCCTGTGTTTTGCCTTCCACTGTGTGCGGGGGATGCATGCTCAGTCCTGGGGGGTAAGGTGACCACCTCCTTCCTTAGAATTCATCTTTCACAGATGTAGGATCCGGTTATTCACTCTGGGAAATATTAAGTTGATAGAGTCTTGACCCTTTCTGTGACAAATATGTATCCTAGAATTATCTTTGATTAAATGTTAGAAAGAAAGTTTTAAATAGTAGTTTGGTAGTCCGGGCTGGTGGTAAGAATTAAGTTAGGAAGGAGAGAGACAGGAAGCTTCTGGGCGCCTCAGGCCTACCCAGGTTGCCTCATAGCAACAAACAGTAAAAGGGGGCCAGTGTTTCCTGGGTCAGGAGTTTTTCTCTTGTTCAGGGGATAACTTCATCCAAACCTGAAGTTCCAAGGAGAACAGAGAGTTTGAAAACAGAAAAGACTGATTATTTAGCTTTCACTTCCTGGTTTACCTAATATTACTTCGTACAGTGTTCTTCATATTCCTTTTCCAACTCTGAAATTTGCTCATTTAATTCTTTTTTCCTTTCCCTTTAGAGAAACCAACTTAAAGTTCAAAATGGCACTTGAAGTCACACACCAATATCTCCAAGAAGAGAATTCATTGGCAGCATTTGATGGTTTGTGCAAACAAGTCTTTTTGTTGTTTAGTCACTAAGCTGTGTCCGGCCCTTTGCAGCCCCGTGGGCTGTAGCCCGGCAGACTCCCCAGTCCATGAGATTTCCCAGGCAAGAATCCTGGACTGGGTTGCCATTTCCTTCTCCAGGGCATCTTCCCGACCCAGGGATCAAGCCTGCGTCTCCTACATTGGCAGGGGGATTCTCCACCACTGAGTCCCCAGGAAAACCCTAACTTGTCTTACTTTGTATTGAATTTTCATTGCTTGGTTCAGTCTGTATATTAATTAAAACCAGAAAATCTTTCATATGTGAGCACTTATGTGAATCATACCTCTTTTAAAAGGTTTTATTGAATGTGAGGAACCGAATAACCGGCTAGATAAGTTCACAGGAACACTATTTTGGAAAAACACAAGTTTTCCTTTGGACGCTGATAAAATTTTGTTACGTGGTTGTGTCATCAGGAACACCGATTTCTGCCATGGATTGGTCATTTTTGCAGGTACTTTTGAAGTCTCTTGGGAAATTGATCTGTAGGCTCATTAAAGATGTAAATGAGGAAATTGATTGTCCTTTCTCTATTGAAACCCAAGAGAATTATTTTATTGACATGCTAGTGAATTGATTTTCCCAATCGTTGATCAGATTGAATTATCCATTTCTAGGTGCTGACTCTAAAATAATGAAGAATAGTGGGAAAACCAGATTTAAAAGAACTAAAATTGATTACTTGATGAACTACATGGTCTATACGGTATTTATTTTCTGTTTTGGTAGATTGCTATCTTTTGTTCTAGTTTTCTTGTATGTTTTTCTATTGCAAAGAAATTTTACCTCTGTGGGCCAAGTAGAAAAATTCACAAGGTGGAGGAGAAGAGATTCCCTCACCTTTTCTCAGAAATGCCACATTTCTAATAGGAGAATCTCTCTGGGAATGTGAATCCCAATTGTAGGGTACCCTGAGTTGATACCTGAGTTGCTCACCCTATAGAGTCATCAGTTGGGAAACTAGGGAGTCTTAGATAGACTACGCCCCTGAAGTCAATGTAGGATTGATTTTACTGCTGTTAATTTCCCATAGGGATAGTTCTCTTAAAAGCAAACCTTTATCCCCCCAAATATACTGTGTAAGTCCAACTATAAGGCAAGTTTAGGTGTAAGGTGAGTCAAAGGTCTGTCTCCAAGACCACTCCCAGCATTGATGATTCATGAGGAGGACTTGAATTCAGTCTCTAATTGTTCTCATAGTTAGGACTTACTATGATAAGTATCGCTTATTACAAAGCAAGATAGCAAAGAAAGAAGGCTCATGGGGCAAAGTACAGAGAAAACCAGGGGTGAGCTTCCAAGAGTCCTCTCCCAGCGGAGTCACTCACAACAGACGCACTGAATCCTCTCAGCGACAATCCGCGTCAGCAAGTGTGAAATGTTGGCTCTCCAGGAAAGTTCACTAGAGACCCATTGCCTGGGTTTTATTGGGGTCTGGCCACGTAGGCACTGTCTGCCTGGCGGGTACCAAAATTCCAGACTCCCTAAAGGAATCTGGGTATCAGTATAAGCCATATTGTTTTACACAAATAGTTGGGCATAATGAGTCATTCTTATCAGAGAATAAGAAATAAGGAACCAGGAAGCCCTTCCAAAATCTGTTTCCTGTTGCCAGCCAACGGCCCACTGTGTAAACAGGCCTCTAAGGATGGCAGGCTTAAACCTGCTGTGTCTGCTCTTCTGCACACAGAGTGGCCCTAAATATTAGACAGTCCTCCAACTCGCCAGTAAGGCCTTTTTTCAAGTATTTAGTTTTGATGTGTTCACGAGAGGAGGTGATGTCCCTGTCTGTCTACTCCAGCATCTTAACCAATCTGATCCAGTTTAATTTGAACACAAAACATTTTAGGGACTTACAATACTTCCAGTACTTTTATATGGTCAAAAGCATATAATAGCAATGTGTTAATTTAAGAAAAAATTCTTTTTTCCCTGCTCTCACATTTCATGAAATCTTCATTGGAGCTTTTCTGGTGCATCTTCCATGTCACTGTCTTGGTTATGGCTGGGCCCTCACAGGGAGTTTGTCATCTCTCCTCTGTGCCAAGTTCTTTTGAAATACAGTGCTTTTGTAATCTGTGCCCAGAAATTTAAATTTGCCTTGGAAATTTTCTTCCTCCTCACAGATACCCAGTGTTTGCAGTTACCTTAAATACCCAAATAGCCCTAGGGCTGTTGAATTTTTAATTCATTCCTTAGGTATATACTCAGTTTCCACAACAGAATACTTATTGTATTGCTTCTTAAAGGATCTTAAATGTTAAGTGATTGTTAAATCTTCAGGAATAATTACCCAAATTTGCATAAAATTTCCTTGCCTTCTTTTTTTTTTTTTAAATCATTTCCATCAAACATTTTCTATAAGTGTCTCAATTTAGCCTTCTTTGAAATTTTTCATGCTAAAGTAGGGTTATCTTCCCCAAACATTATGTTATTGCTCAAAGGAAAAGTTGTTGAGATAATGTTCCATATTATGAGAATGTTTAAGGATTTGAATATAAAATACCACCTTCTCTTCTGAAAGATAATTTTAGGAATAAAACCTTACCTTGTATATGGAAGGTAGGATAAATTAATCAACCCCAGAAATAAATAGGCTTTCAAAGCATTCTTTTCTATTTATCTACCTTTTGGCCACGCCACATGGGGCATACAGGAGCTTAGTTCCCTGAGCAGGGGTCGAACCTGCGCCCCCTGCAGTGGAAGCACAGAGTCTTAACCACTGGACCATCAGAAAAGTCCCCTCAAGGTGTTGTTATGGCAGTGTTTCTATTTTAAGTGTGTTTGTTGTTGTTGTTCAGTCACTAAGTTGTGACCCCATGGACTCTGTCCTCCCCTGTCTCCCAGAGTTTGCTCATATTCATGTCCATTGAGTCAGTGATGCTATCTAACCATCTCATTCTCTGCCATCCCTGTCTCCTCTTGCTTTCAATTTTCCAGCATCAGCATCTTTTGTGTTGCTTTTACAGAGTACTAAATTATTACACACATGTAAAGTATTGAGTAAAGTAAATCAGCGTCTATACAATGCATGGGATTGGGAATGTGTCCTTAGAGTTAAACCTAACCATTGTGTGTCTTTCAGATCTTTGTTGTTCTCATCTTGCTTTCTGCGGGTCTTGCCATCGGCCACGCTTACTGGGAAGCTCAAGTTGGCAATTTTTCCTGGTACCTCTATGATGGAGAAGACTCTTCGCCCTCCTACCGTGGATTCCTAAATTTCTGGGGCTACATCATTGTTCTCAACACCCTGGTGCCCATCTCTCTCTATGTCAGGTAAGACTGTCTTCTCTTTGGCCTTCTGCTCTAAGAGAAGAACTTGGTACACCTTGCCAATTCAGCACCTTCAATTTTAGCAATACTTGTTTTAAAGGTCATAAAGAACAAATAAGAAAAGAGCTTTCACTTCAGAATTGAGGGTGATCCGGGCAAAGGGAACTAATACTGCGTGTCTGCCCTGTGCTAGGCACGGCATCTTGTGTCTTGACCTCTTGACAGGTAAAGCTACTGGAGTTCAGAGGTCAGACTCGACTCCTGCAGTCACTTTCTTGGCAGGACTCCTTCTGACTGGGTTCCAAAGCTCGAGCTCAAGCATCAGAAAGAGCTGGATGAAGATTTAGAATGTCATGGAGTAACTCAGTTGTCTGTTTCAGGGGCCGTCCTAACCTCTTTTCTGAGTCTTCTGTATTACCACCTGGTGAACCTGCAGCTTGTAAAACTCACTGGGCTTCCTGAGTGCCACCTTCCCTGTTTAGCCTCTCAAAGTGTTCTCTTTCTCATCTCAACCCCAGCTGTGATAAAAGGGTAATAAAAGAGGGTCATATTTCTGACAGGTGGTCATCTCCTTGTTTTCTGATACTTCTTCCTTTTTTTACTTTTTAAATATCAAGTTTCACTGTCTCTGGTCAGTTGAACTTTAGACCACTGGGAGAGAAACTGTGCCTTGAAATATACCCAGCAGCCAGAGTCAGCTCTTGGTTCCAATAAGTAATAGCCCAGAGGCATATAGGACTACATGCAAACCTGTAATTAGAAGCATTTGTTTTATTTTAATTTTATTACATGTGCATTTGTTTTATTTTTAATTTTATTAGCTGTAGTTACTATTGCTCTTTTCACACGAAGTAAAGCCATGGGAAGCCATGTGTTTGCAGTTACTCTGAAAAAACAATAACTGAGATGACTTCCCTTTGTTAGGGGAACTGTTATACAGACTGTTTTGTCTGTATCTGTTATGTATGTATGAGGGCTCCTCTGGTGGCTCAGATGGTGAAGAATCTGCCTGTAGTGCTGGAGACCCGGGTTTAATCCCTGAGTCGAGAAGATCCCTTGAAGAAGGAAATGGCAACCCACTGCATTGTTCTTGAATGTAGAAGTGTTAGCTGCTTAGTCCTGTATGCCTCTGTGACCTGTGGACTGCATCCCACCAGCTCCTCCGACCATGGCATTCTCCAGGCCAGAATACTGGAGTGAGTTGCCATTCCCTTCTCCAGGGGATCTTCCCAACCCAGGGATTGAACCTGAGTCTCCTGCATTGGAGGCAGACACCATATCTACATGGTTGCTCTTTCATTTCCTTGAGATCTCTGCTCTAAGTTCACCTTATACCCCGGCTATTCCTGGCCCTCTCTGTCTTCCTCTGCCTGTCGGTCTCTATCTCTCTTCACAGTGCTTTGATTTTCCGCAGACGATTCTCACCATCTAATATAGTATATGTTTACTAGAGGGCAGGGATTTTCGTCTCTTTTGTTGATTGATGTATCCCGCTAGGATGATGTCTGGTAATACTAGGCACTCACGGAGCATACAAGGGAGCAGAGAAGAAGGGAGTTATTTTTCCATCTGTTTAGTTCCATCCTTTACAGACATCCTTTGCCCACTGAACAGAGGCTGGGTGTGTAAGCACCTTCCTTAAAACTGAGATAGATTTAATCAGTTATAGTTTTCAAGTAGGAATGATCCTTTTAGAGTACTGTATTTTGGACATTCTATAATCTTATAGGAGTTTAGGACTATAAACAAAATAGACTTCCCTGGTGGCTCAGATGGTAAAGAATCTGCCTGCAATTCAGGAGATGGAGGTTTGAGCCCTGGGTTGGGAAGAGAAGGAAATGGCAACCCACTCCAGTATTCTGGCCTGGAGAATTAGAGGACCTGGTGGGCTTCAGTCCATGGGGTCCCAAAGAGTCGGACACGACTAAGCGACTAACACTTCCACTCACAAAATGGAAAAACGACAAGGACCAACTGTTTAGCACAGGAAACTATATTCCATATCTTGTAATAACCTCTAATGGAAAAGAATCTGAAAAAGAAATATATATATATATATGTACATGTTCCTCAAAAAATGTGTATTGCTGAATCACTTTGCTATATACTGGGAACTAGTACAACACTGAAAATTAACTGTACTTCAATTAAAAAATGTTTAAAAAAAGAATTTATTTTTTAACAGGGTGAAATGACAACTTATGGGTTATTTGCCAAAAGTCCTTAGTGCTACTGGAGATCACACAGGGGTGCATAATCTAGTGACTCTCACTCCTTTTGCCTCCAATTGAGGGCAGAGTTGAACACACCTTTCCATCGTCCCTGGGTGCGATGGGGACCGAGAGAAGAGGGTAGAAATAATGTCCCATGGCGGGATACCTCCTGCAGGGTTAGCTACCTTGTCACCCGCATGGGTTGTGTGTTCTGAACAGAGGCTTCCGTGGCTGGATGTGCTCAGGAGTTTGTAGGAAATCACCTCAAGAGGACACTTTGACCTTGAAGCAGGAGAAAGATGTGTTTGGTCAGGAGAACCAGGAGGCTGGGCACAGGGCTCCCTGCAGGGCTGGTCTCCCTGTAGATAAGTAGTTCGCTCCTATCGCAAATCTACTGCCTGCAGCTCATATCTGAGAGCCATCGAAAGTAATCTTTTATCTTGCTAGTGTGGAGGTGATTCGTCTTGGCCAGAGTTACTTCATCAACTGGGACCTGCAGATGTACTATCCTGAGAAGGACACGCCCGCAAAGGCGAGAACCACCACGCTGAATGAGCAGCTCGGGCAGATCCATTACATCTTCTCGGACAAGACGGGGACCCTCACGCAGAACGTCATGACCTTTAAGAAGTGCTGCATCAACGGGCAGATTTACGGTGAGAAGAATCTATTACTCTGTCTCTGGACGTGTGTGACCAGAGGCTGCCTCCCTGGAGTGGTCCTCTGCCAGTGCAAAGCTCTGATGGTTATTCTTGAGGTTTCTCAAGCAGCCTCACTGGTGCACTGAGACCAAACATGTGAGGAGGTCAGGAGTCAGAATTAGGTATATTTTCCTCAAAAAGTTAGCTTGCCATGTGACCCAGGAAGTTTGCTCCTGGTTACACAAACAAAAGAACCAAAAGCAGGGACTCAGACAGGTATTTGTGCATCCATGTCCGTAGTAGCATTATTCAAAATAGGGAAGGTGTAGTAGTAACTTAGAGTGTCCATCAGTGGATGAAGGATAAGGAAAATGTGATATATACACACAATGGAATATTATACAGTCTTGAAAAGGAAGGAGAATGTGACACATTATGACATGAATGAACTTTGAGGAATGCTATGTGAAATAAGCCAGACACAAAAGGAAACATTTGGATGATTCCATTTCTTTGAAGTATCTGGAGAAGTCAAATTCAGAGAGCTAGAGAGTAGAACGGTAATTGCCAGGGTTTAAGGGAAGAAGGGAATGAGGAATTAGTGTTTAGTGAAAATAGCATTTCCTTTTCACGGATGAAGGAGCCCTCGAGATGGATGGTGGTGAAGGCTGCATAGCAGTGTGATTGCATTTGATGTCACTGAAGTGTTTGTTTAAAAACAGTTGGGATGAAATTCCCTGGTGGTCCAGTGATTAGGACTCTGTACTTCCACTGCTGGGGGCCTGGATTCGATCCCTTATCAGGGCACTAAGATCCCACAAGCCTCGAGGCAAGGCCAGAAAACAAACAACGAAATAGTTGAGATGGTAAACTTTGTTTTTCATCACAATTATATTTAAAAAATTGATTCCCATTCGAATATTCTGAAATGTGCTATATACTTGTCAAAATAACAAGGCTAGTGCTGCATTCAAAGTGGATGCCCCTAAGATTTAAATATTTAAAAACAGTATAATTATTTTAAAAGCTATGAGAACATCATGAACTTCCCTCTTGGAGGAAACGTTTTGCTGTGAGCTGTACGTTCACAGAATGTCAGTGAGGAAGGCGGGATGCTGAGGGCTTGAGGAAGGGGCTCTGCCATACGTGGTAGTTTCTTCTCAGCTGGGGGAGGACGGGGGTAAAACCCTTCACAGGACGTGGTCCTGGCCCCAGAGGAGATCACAGTGCAGGGGGACATGCGCGTCAGTATGTGAACCTCTAGACTAGCGGCCAGCAAACTTTGTTGGTTAAGGGCCAGATAGGAAATATTTAAGCCTTTTCAGGCCACATATGGTCTGTATCAAATAGTCTCCTTTGTTATGCTTTGTCTGTTTGTTGACAACTCTTGAAAAATGTGGGAACCATTCTTTTTTTTTTTTCTTTTTTTTTTTTAAACGGTCTTTATCTTTCTGGCTTACTTCGCTCTGTATAATGGGCTCCAGTTTCATCCATCTCATTAGAACTGATTCAAATGAATTCTTTTTAATGCACCAAAGAGATGGGAACCATTCTTAACTCAGGGCTGCCCAAACGGGCTATGAGGCCCGTTGATTCAATGTGTTTGTCCTGTTTGTTCCCAGGAGACCATCGAGATGCTTCTCAGAACAGTCACAGCAAAATAGAGGTGAGTCCTTTCACCGACGAAGTCGTTTGGGGGTGTGTATGACTTTCCTGGGCTGTGCCAAGCTCCCATAGAATAGGTGTCTTACAGTAATAGGAATGTATTCCACACAGCTCTGGAGCCCGCAAGTTTGAATGGAGGAGTCAGCAGGCCTACCCTCCCTCTGGAATCTCTGGGGCAGAATCCTTGCCTCTTCCTGGGCCCTGGTGCTTGCCTGCAGTCCTGGGCACTTGGCTGGCACACACATTACTCAGAAGTCTGCCTCTGTCATCACATGGCCTTCCTTCTCCCTGTGTGTTTGTGTCCAGATTCCCTTCCTTTTATAAAGATACACTCAGTGGATTGTGTGCGTGTGTGCTGTGTGTGTGCTCACGCGTGTCTGACTCTCTGTGACCCCATGGACTGTAGCCCACCAGGCTCCTCTGCCCATGGGATTCTCCAGGCAAGAAGACTGGACTGGGTTGCCATGCCCTCTCCCAGGAGATCTTCCTGACCCAGAGCTCAAACCCACATTTCTTGCATTTCCTGCATTGCAGGTGGACTCTTCACCATTGAGCCCTGGACCAGCCCCTAGTCACTAGATTAGGGTCTCTCTAATCCATTTAACCTCATTTTTTTTCTTTTTTACGTTGGGGTATAGTTGATTAATAATGTTGTGTTAGTTTCAGGTGTACTAGAGTCATTCAGTTTTATATATATATATATTCACGTATCTATTCTTTTTTCAAAATCTTTTCCCATTTAGGTTATTACAGAGTATTTAGTATAGTTCCTTGTGCTCAGTATAAACTTCCTCTTGATTACATCTACCAAGGCCTTATTTCCAAAGAAGATCCTATTCCCAGGTACCAGGGGTTAGAACTGCAACATATCTTTTTTGGGGGGGGACACAGTTTGACTCACACCAGGCTGTGTTAAAACAGATAGGAAAAAAACAACGGATATGAGCTTCTTGACACTTCAGAACATATGAAAATCCTAGTGATGTTTGCATGAAGACACAGCTTCCGAGAAGAGGTCCTGTCATTTGTGAAGCCTGGGTCGTCTGTTTTAAATGCCCGTTTTTCCTTCTCGATTTCCTTCAGCCAGTGGATTTCAGCTGGAATGCGTTCGCCGATGGGAAGCTTGCGTTTTACGACCATTATCTCATTGAGCAAATCCAGTCGGGGAAGGAGCCGGAGGTGCAGCACTTCTTCTTCCTGCTGGCAGTCTGCCACACGGTCATGGCGGACAGGCTCGACGGTGAGTGTGGCCGTCGCGGCCTGGGCACCGGAGACCAGCCTTTTTTTTAGTTGACAGGGAACTCGTGCTTGGGACTCGAATGCACATGAAGAGTTGTGTGAGCTAGAGGTGTTTGAGTTAGGTTTCCATTCCTGACACATCTTCATCTTATACGCCAGAGAAGTACATGGCTTATGTGGCATCCTCCAGGGGGACTTGCCGTCTAGACCCTGGGTTCTATTTCCTGTAGGCAGGTCTTTGCCATAGATATCCTGCAAAAGGCTTTTCGGAGGTAAGGCTTCTTCTTCCTAGCAAATGTCTTTGGTCTGTTTACCCAGAAGGCTAGTGGACAAAACAATTAGACCAGGTCACCGACTTCTTTCTCCCTGCACCTGGAGAAAAGGATTGAATGGGTAGAAGCCAACTGTCGTGAAGTCCTTCACAGAACTCAAACACCCCCAAATTAAATGACTTCTGAAAATTCCCGTCTCAACCTGGTGAAATTTAAACTTTAGAATCGAAGGGTCATGTGAATTATGAGGTGCATCAAGTAAATTTCAAATGATTGCAGTCTGAATCCACATATCATATTGCAAATGATTGCTAAATCAATTAAGAAATACATATATAATAAGGCATGTGTATATTTACTGTAATAATAACAATTACTGTCCAAAGGAAGAATAAAAATAGAGTTGTGTGCATGACAAGTTTGTCGAATCTCCACCCAAGTGATGACTATCTGTGGGCCCCTTGCACTGTGTGGCATAGGAGCCAGCAGACCATGAAACAGGCTCCTGGCCTTTGGAAATATTCGTCTCCTTCGTAATTCTAGCTCCAGATGTGTGTATCACTTTGGAACTTTTTATCAGCAAAAATTTGTTCTTTTTTTTTTTTTTTTACTGTGACTGACTCTTGCATTATAAACAGAAGAATCAAAATCTTTTCACTATCTGAGGACTTCATATTTATGGAGAGTGAAAAGTCAAACCTTATCTGGATCGTAAGTGGACTTTAAACTTGGACAATCTTTTACTACAAAATAATTTTAGAGAGAATTGTTTTCTAGATTCAGGTATGTTTGGCATTTGAAATAATAGCTGCCAAACCTAGGCCTCCTGAAGGTACCTTTTTGATCTGAAGGCGTGTAATTCATATGCTTTTGCATGGGACATTGACGTGTAGGTTCCTCTGCAGAATTCTTTTTTTTGTTGTTAACTTTTAAGGAAAATTAAAGTATAGTTGGTTTATAATGTTGTGTTAATTTCTGCTGTATAGCAAAGTAATACACATGTATATACATTTTTATGTTTCATAGTGTTTTCCATTATGGTTTATCATAGGATATTGAATATAGTTCCTGGTGCTATGCAATCAGACCTAGTTGTTTATCCATCCTACAGAGCAGTTGTACCTGCGGACCCCACACTCCCAATGCGTTGCTCCCCCATACTCCCTCTGCCTCAGCAACCACAAGTCTGCTCTCTCAGTGGGTCTGTTCCTGCCTCCTGGATATGTTCAAGTTGTATTTTAGATTCCACATGTACGTGGTACCACATGGTGTTTGTCCTTCTTCCGACTGACTTCACTTAGTATGATAACCTCTGGGTCCATCCATGTTCCTGCAAGTGGCATGATTTCATTCTTTTTTGTGGCTGAGTAGTATTCTGGTGTGTGTGTGTACACACCACATCTTCTTTATCCATTCATCTGTCAGTGGACATTTATGTTGTTTCCATGTTTGCGGAATTCTTAAGTGCAGCTTGTGCCAGCTTTGTCACAGCAGGATGGTCCAGTATCAATGAAAGCTAGGTATCTTGTCACCTGTTCACACAGTGGTACATTACATAGATACATATGTGCATTCTGGAAAGAGCCAAAAGTGCCCCTTTGTTAACGTGCATTCTCCACTTTGGGGCTTCCCTGGTGGCTCAGATGGTAGAAAAGCTGCCTGCAATGCAGGAGACCAGGATTTGACCCTTGAGTCAGGAAGATCCCCTGGTGAAGAGAATGGCAACCCCCTGCAGTATTCTTCCCTGGAGAATCCCATGGACAGAGGAGCCTGGTGGGCTACAGTCCATGAGGTCACAAAGAGTCGGACCCATCTGAGTGACTATCACTTATTCTCCACTTTAATCAGCTCAGCATATGAACAAATGTCCTTTCCGGTTTTCTGACTCTGAGGTTTCATATGTAGAGGATGAAATCTTCAGAGGAAAAATAGACATAAAAAACTACATGTATAGAAGCTATGTGTATATCTTGCAGCAAATTTCGAAGACACTCATTCTCCAAGGATGAATTTAATTGTGCAATAAAGCTGAGATAACAGCAGAATTCTGGTTGGGGTAGATACATGGAAGGGGCTATTAACAGGCCAGACCAGGGAGATAGAAAACTCCCTGGTCACGAAAAATTGAAGCAGAGGTCAAAATCTGTTTGACTAGCTAAGCACATTTTACTTGTATGATAAAAATCAAGTATGATATTTTTAAGCAACTGGGTTCTCTTAGTTTTTGGCTCATTTGTAAATTTATTCTACATTTTTTTTTTTGAGTGTGTGGTGGTATTATTTTGAAAGCTAACCTGCCAACTTAAGCAAATGTGTATACATCTACGGTCTCCATTTCCTTCTCTCTCCACTGGGATCTCATGGGAAGAGTCCTGGGTTCTGTGCTGGAGGTGGGCCGTCCCCATCTGGGTTCTTGCCATAACACACAGGACAGACCAGCATTTTCTGCTGGGCAGCGGCTTCCTGCGTGTCGCGGGAGGAGGGCTGGAGTTCAAAGTCCTTTCCAGCCTGATATGGTGCAGCTGTTTGTCCCACTGTCCTCCGCGGCAGAATTGTACACCCTGAGGCATCCTCCCCCACGCAGCGCATCACAGGCAAATTGCCGTGGACGCTGAAAGTGGAGGCGAGTTGGATTTTGAAGCACAGGAAGGAGAGACTGATTTTGGCTCTAACTGATGAAAGCACCTTGAAAGGGTCCTTGGGAAAGGACCTTGGAGAAACTCCTCCCAATGTTTCAGCTGCGGAAACTCAGCCCCAGAAAGCACCCAGTACCTCCCTGAGCTCGGATGGTGGGTTACAACTCATCTTAGCTGAGTCCTCTCGCTCTGCCAGACTGGCGCGCCTTTGCTTTCCACTCTCATTTTCCCGCTTTTATAATAGTGGAGATTGGCTCTTCGGTCATTATGCATAATATGAGCAACGAGGGGACAGAATTCTTTCAGGCACGCTCAGCAGACAGTGGGTGTGGCCCACGTGTTGAGTATGTGTAGGAGGGCACGTGGAGGCTGGGTGTGGAGCAGCTGTGTTGGTTTTCTATGGTTCTACGCTAGATCCCCACAACGCAGTGGCTTGAATCATCCATTCCTTCGCTCACAGCTCTTTAGATGGGATGTCTGCGCAGGGCATGACAGGGTTCTCTGCCAAGGACCTCCCTAAAATCCAGGTCCGACCACTCTGTCGTCCAGAGATCAGCAACATCTTCCAAGCTGAGAGCAGGATCCAGTGCTCTGGGGCCGCAGGACTGAGGTCTCCGTTTCCTTGCTGGCTGTCAGCTGGGGCTGCTCTCTGCTCCCACAGGCCTCTCTCTCTTTCCTTGCCTCGTGGTTCCCCCTGTCATCAAAACCAGCAACCGAGAATCTCCCTCCCATCAACCCCTTTCATGCTTCAATCTCTCTGTCCCTGGGAAGAAGCCAATCCCTTTTGAGGACTAGGCTTCCCTGGTGGCTCAGCTGGTAAAGAATCTGCCTGCAGTCTGGGAGACCTGGGTTCAATCCCTGGATTGGGAAGATGCCCTGGAGAAGGGAAAGGCTACCCACTCCAGTATTCTGGCCTGGAGAATGGGGTCTCCATGGACTATGGTCTCAAAGAGTCGGACATGACTGAGCAACTTTCACTTCATTTTGAAATTAAGTGAACACTTGGCTCCTTGGAAGAAAAGCTATAATCAACCTAGACAACATATTAAAAAGCGGATACATTACTTTGCCAACAAAGATCCATCTAGTCAAAGCTATGGTTTTTCCTGTAGTCCTGTATGGATGTGAGAGTTGGACTATAAAGAAAGCTGAGTGCAGAAGAATTGATGCTTTTGAACTGTGGTGTTGGAGAAGACTCTTGAGAGTCCCTTGGACGCAAGGAGATCTAATCAGTCCATCCTAAAGGAAATCAGTCCTGAATATTCATTGGAAAGACTGATGCTGAAGCTGAAACTTCAATACTTTGGCCACGTGATGGGAAGAGTTGACTCATGGGAAAAGACCCTGATGCTGGGAAAGATTGAAGACAGGAGGAAAAGGGGATGGACAGAGGATGAGATGGTTGGATGGCATCACCCACTCAATGGACATGAGTTTGAGCAAGCTCTGGGAGTTGATGATGGACAGGGAAGCCTAGAGTGCTGCAGTCCATGTGGTCGCAAAGAGTCGGACACGACTGACTGACTGACTGAACGGAACTGAACTGACTGAACTTGAGACTAACCCAATTAGTTTAGGAACACTCAGATAATCTCCTTATCTTACAGTCAACAGATTTGGACCTTAATTATATCTGTAAAATCCCTTCCCAGCAGTACCGTGATAGAGTTTGCTTGAATAGCTGGGAGAAAGTGTGTGTGTACACAGGGTCAGGGTGTGGGCCATCATAGACGCCTGTCCTTGCAGAGGCTGAGAACAGAGTTTGCAAAGAAAGAACAAAGAAAGAAAGTGATGTCGCTCAGTAGTGTCTGACTCTTTGTGACCCCATGGACTGTAGCCTGCCAGGCTCCTCCGTCTATTGGATCTTCCAGGCAAGAGTACTGGAGTGAGCTGCCATCTCCAGTGTTTGAAAGGCTGGGAGATATTGTTTTCTTCTGAAGGCCTGAAGTATGGATGCACCATAAGAGCTGAGGTTTAGAAGTTTGGAGCCAGGACACATCAAATCAGTAAAGAAACTTAGGACCTGGATTAGTGGGAGTCTTTAGGAAGGACGAGCAAGTTACAAATGAGGGAGATATTCAGTCTGAGAGTTAACTCTCTTTAAGACTGGTGACTAGAATTATCAGCCAGAGAAAGCTATGCAATCAGGATAATAAGTAGTGGGATTTGTTGTTTGAGCATCTTTTTTATTTGAATCAGTTCCGTGATCCACAAATTAGCTTGTACAAGAAAAGAAAGTCTCTTTGGTTGTGTCTCAGTGGGGGATGAATAGTGAGTTTTCTTACAGGAAAGGTTTCAGGGGGTTAATTTTTAGTCCGGATTTCCTCCTGCAAACATCAAGTTGGAGTTTGGACCAGATCTCTGAAGTTCCTCCCATCTCTGTTAGTCAGCAATTCTGTGAGTCCATTACTGGAGCAAAAATGGAAGGGTTTTCTTTTCATGATAAAAATATCAGTGTTTGCTCCAGATAGGATTGTCTTTACTCATGGGAACTTTACCACCTTTTATCATTTTCTTCCTTTTTTTCTGTTGGTGTAAGTTTGCCTTCAGTATGATGTAATATATCCCCGCCAGTGAAACCTGCCGAAGGGAGGGGACTGTGTTCTCACTGCTGCTTGTTCAGCTCTGGTTAAATATTTTACCCTCTGACATGTATGTGTGTTTGTAGAACGACTGGATTTAGCAAGTACATTTGTAACTTCTGGTGTGTGTCTTTCTGGGTGAACAAGCAGATACCAGCCTCATCTTTAATTAGTATTTGGGAGTGATGCATATTGGCTCAGAGTGAACCATCTGAGTATGTCTGTCCAGGGAGGAGAGTGTAGGGGTGGGGCATTTAGCCTTCTTCCTTGGTGGCTCAGATGGTAAAGAATCCGCCTGCAATGAAGAAGACCTGGGTTCGATCCCTGGGCTGGGAAGAGCCTCTGGAGAAGGGAATGGCAGCCCACTCCAGTGGAGAATGCCTGGAGAATCCCCATGGGCAGAGGAGCCCGGCGGGCTACAGTCCACGGGGGGTGGGGGTGGGGGTCGCCAAGAGTCAGACACGTCTGAGTGATTAAGCACACAGCCCTTCACCCTGGAGCATCCGCCCTCCCCTGTGGACAGATGATGTAAAGATCTGCCAGTCTGTGGGCTGCAGCCTGATCAAACCGTGGTGGAAAATGAAATGCCTTTTCCTGTGAAAATTCGTCTGACCATAGACATACTTTTCATTCCACTTGGAGATGGAAGAATGAAGAGTCGAAAAACACAAACTCTTGGATAGGCAGAGCTTTTTTAAAAAAATGTGTTTGGTTTTTTTTTTTTTACTGACGTACAAAGATAAGCATATAGCTCAGTGGATTTTCACCAGCTGGATACTCCCTTATCATGAACCCCTGGATTTTTACAAACACAACATCATACATCCCCTGGACGCCCTTTCCTGTTCCTTGTTAAATTAGGAGAATATAGCTACAGTAAAGAAGGTTCTAGAGGGAAGATAACCTGGTATAACCCTTGTAGAAAGCAAGTGAGTAATACATGTGACAGCGGGCTTAAAAATTATCAGTGTTGTTTACCTCAGTGTTTTCATTACTAGGAAGCTATCCTTAGAAAATAGGAAAACCTTTATACACATATAGAATACTTATTACAGTGTTATTTTTGGGAGTAAAAATATTATGGAAAGGCACTTGGGGCCTGTAATAGGAAAGCAGTCACACATTACATTCACAGATTACATTTCTTTAAAATAATGCGTAGAAAGAATTTTTAAAGCTGTGATAACATGCTCAAAATACAGTGTTAAAATAATCAGGATATAAATGTATATTTAGCATGCTAGAAACTATTAGAGAAACAGGCATTTCCAAAAGGACAGAAGCAGATTATAAAAAGCTATTAATAGTGTTGTTCTTCCTCTGGATGGTGGGGTTATGAGGTTTTTTTTTTTCCCTATTCTTGGCCAGATTTTTTTTTTTCACTTCTAGTTTATATTGTTGTTTATAATTAGAAATAAAAGTTTAAAAACTCTGAACGTTGACACACTCCTTAAGAATCAGTGATGTGTTTTCTTGGGGATGTTTTGGGCTTTGCAACAGAGTCGGCCCTCTGTGTCCATGACACAGGGTGCCAACTGCACCTACTGTAGTCTGCCACTTCCTAGAAGGGACCAGAGCATCCATGGCATTTGTTATCTGCGGACAGTCCTGGAACCAATCCCCCATAGGTCTCAAGGGATAACTGGACATCCTTACCCCCTATGTGAGCCACCCTGGTGAACACTTGCTGGCCAGCTCAGCTCTGGTTTTCTCTTTTGCCTCTTCTGCTAGGTCAGCTCAACTACCAGGCGGCCTCTCCTGACGAGGGTGCTCTCGTAAGCGCCGCCAGGAACTTCGGCTTTGTCTTCCTCGCCAGGACCCAGAACACGATCACCATCAGTGAGCTGGGCACAGAGAGGACCTACCGTGTTCTCGCCCTTTTAGACTTCAACAGTGACCGGAAGCGGATGTCTATAATTGGTAGGTCTCCCTCGGAGTTTGTCTGGCAATCATGCACATTCAGTTAGCAACACCAGGACAAAACAGGCGACGAATGAGCCCCTTGGCTCCTGGAGGGCCCCCGCAGACTTGTTGAAACTAGTGTCTCCTTACTTCGTTCCATACGATGTCCGTCACTCAAAGCGACACCCCGCAGTAGATCTGAACCTTGCATCACGTCTTGAACGGTGTGGGCTGTCAGCTGTGAAATCTGGGTGGCGGCTCCGTGGCTGGTAGACCCACAGCATGAGCTTTTCTACCATAAGTTGCTCCACGCATTTCTGCTGGGGCCTTGCGGGATGTCAGGGAAGGGAAAACAGCAGCAGGAGACGAGCCCTGAGAACAGCCAGGCTGTGCTTCTGAATGAAACTCCTCCCTCCAGCTCAGGCACACGTAACAGGAACCCAAGTCGAACAATGATCACTTCCTGATATTGAAATGTCTTAAATTCATAGTTTGAAACCATTGCAAACTTACAGAAAACTTGCAAGAACGCTGTAAGGAATCCTGTAGTTTCTTCCATGTCCAGTTGTCAGCACTGGTCACAAGTTCTTTGTCATTGTCATTTATGGGTTCTTGTTTTCTGAATCATTTGAGAGTTGATTAAGGCCACTGAGGTCTAATGTCCCTTTCCCCCAAATCCTTAAGATCAAGAAACTTCACTTACTGTTATGTCTAGTATGCTGATCAGAATCGGAAAACTCAGCATTACAGTGTTATTATCTAATCTACAGAGTGCTTTCAAATTTCACCAGGGATTTTCTTTTTGGTTCAGGACTCCACCCAAGATGCCACATTGCATTCAGTGATCAATACTCTGGTCTCCTTTATTCTGTGAGAGTTCCACAACCTGTTTTTGATCTTCGGCACGTTGACATTTTTGAAAAGCACAGGGCTGTTACCTTGCGGAAAGTCCCTCAGTTTGGGCCTGTCTGATGCTCCCTCATGACTAGGTGCAGATGGTGCCCTGTCGGCAGAAACGATCCCTACATTGGTGCCGTGACCTTCCCAGAACAGCATATCAGAAGGGACATGATTGCAGGTCACATCAGCTTGGATCACTTGGTTAAGTGACATCTATAACATTTTCCACCATGAGACTGACTTTTTAAATTTTATTTTTTAATTGGAGTATAAGCAGTTTACAATGTTGTGTTAGCTTCTGCTGTACAACCGTGTGATTCAGCTACACGTGTACACACATCCCCTACCTCTCAGCCTCCCTCCCACCCTGCCATCCCCCCGTCGAGGTCAGCGCAGAGCTGAGGCCCCCGTGCCGTGCAGCAGGTTCCCGAGAGCTGTTCATTGTACCCGTGGTAGGGCGTGCATGTCAGCGCGGCTCCCAGCCCATCCCACCCTCTCCTCCCCTCCTCCACCACGTCCAGAAGCCCGTTCTATTTGCAGGGCAGGAATTGAGATTGACTTTTTAACCAGTGTATAGGTTTAACTGCTTCCTGATTTAGTCATTTTTTAACTGATACTATTACTGGGTTAAATGATTAGTCTCATTTTACTGAGTGCTTCCTGTGGGCCTAACACTGATCTGGGCTGATGATCATGCCTGGCATCTACCTTAGAGAACTTAAAATCTAGTTAGTGGTGAGACATGTGATGCAATTAAAGTACTTCAGAGATCAAAAAAGCCAAGAAAATGGTCATAAGGAGTCGTGTTAATGACCTGAGAATTAAAGGCAGTGAGTGTTGTGGATTTATAGATAAGAAGGATTTCTATTGGCTGGCATGGACAAAGTAGTCTATATGGAGAAAACCAACATGAAGTACTGCTGCTGCTGCTGCCGAGTCGCTTCAGTCGTGTCCGACTCTGTGCGACCCCATAGACGGCAGCCCACCAGGCTCCCCGGGATTCTCCAGGCAAGAACACTGGAGCGGGTTGCCATTTCCTTCTCCAGTGCATGAAAGTGAAAAGTGAAAGTGAAGTCGCTCAGTCGTGTCCAACTCTTCAGGACCCCATGGACTGCAGCCCACCAGGCTCCTCTGTCCATGGGATTTTCCAGGCAAGAGCACTGGAGTGGGTGCCATTGCCTTTTCCAACACACAGTAGAGAGCCAACAAATATTTGCTGAAAGAATATGCAAGCATATGGAAAACTGAGCTGACTAAAGGAATCTTTTCATATTTCACTATTACATTCTATGTAGGCTTACCAGTGTTGAGGGCAACATTTTTCTAGGTCCATTGCTTATTTTAAACTAATTAGGAATGATTAGCACTGTAACCCTTCAGAAGATTAACTGTATAGTTTTAAGAAATCAAACATTAACTTGATTATTGGCTTTTCCTTCTCTTGCTACTAGTAAGAACCCCGGAAGGCAATATCAGGCTTTACTGTAAGGGTGCTGACATTGTGATTTATGAACGGTTACATCGAACGAATCCTACGAAACAAGAAACGCAGGATGCCCTGGATGTAAGTCTCACTTCCCCTCTTTTTTATGCCACGGATTCCAGACTTATTTTCTGGTGCTGTCTCTGAAGCTGGAGTGAAAGCTCTGTGCTACCTGTCGACCCTTCTGTTGTCTAGGTGTGGTTGAGTGGAAAGAGCACCCAAGTAGGAATATGGCAGGCTGGTTCTGATCCTGCCACAGAGGCTGACTTCCTCGGAAGCGAGCTCGGTGCATCTAGATCGGCAGGACCTGCAGGACTGACCCAGGAGAAAGGCTGGTCTTTCTTCCAGGGACCTTCAGCGAGTCACATAACCATCCTGTGCTCTAGTCTCAGTATCTGTGTGGCCTCCAAGAATTCCAGTGTCCTACGTACAGTGAAGTCAAGAGAACAGTCCTGTAGGATGGGGCATGAGAAAGCAGTGCGTGGGATAATCGGTGTCTTTGTTAGAGAATCAGTTTGGTCTGCGTCACTTCAGACTTGCTATTTACGGGATGATGTGGTCGCAAGAGTCAGACAGGGGTTAGCAACTAAGCACGCACACATGTGCTCGGTTCAGTGATGCTGCGGTTTTTCAGCATGCTTCTGGAAATCTCAGAATTGTATACCCACCCTCATATTGTTTTGTTTTTATATCATGGTGGCAGTGAAGCCTGGAGGATGAATCATTAATTGCCTGCATGAACTAGTTGCACAGTGCCCAGCACTTAGTCGGCACTCAATAAAGGGGTCTTTTTTCCCTCCACTTGAAGGGTCTGAGTTTGCAGGCCAAAGGTCCTTCAGAAAAAGTTGTTTACTAAGTGGGGTCACATTTTAGGGTTATATATGTGTTGCTGATGCAGTTACAGTGGATAATTCCTCATGAGAATTTGAATGAGGGCGGTCTAATCAAATACACGCAGAACTTGCCAAAGAGTCTTTGAAAGCAAATCCTCACTGGGGTAAACCAGTTCTGCTGTTTTGACTAGACAAGATGTGATTGTGAAGTAATGAAACATTTTTACTGGTTCACATTTAAGCTATTTAAAATGGCTTTAAATCTGTTCGCCATGATTAAATTTACAGACTGTTTTTCATGAAGATGTTTTATCTCAGCTTTAACAGTGGCTCATGTCTTTCAGAATTGGTTTGAGGGAATAATGCTTGGTTGAGAGTTCATAGTCTTTGAACGTTTATGGGAACAAATTGTAAAGTTGTCAGGTCTGGTGTACAAAACCTTTATACCACAAGGCACCATCCTTGGTCTCTTATTTTCTTAGTGGTTAAGGTTATTTTGTTCATTCTCATGACTTGATTTAGAAGAAAGCTATACTTTCCCCTTTAATTAGGGAATTACAAATAAACAGTCCTAAGATTTTGAGAATACTTAGGAAAACAAAGTATTAATATTTGTTTACTCTCCTCTATGGAATGTATGTCTACAGAATCATTTCACAGTCTCGTTTTAAATTATCCTATTGTATTACTGCAAAATGAGATTTCAAACTTATATAAAAATAATTGTTCTTTGGGTGGTTGGATTGTCTTTTAAATTCACAGATCTTTGCAAGTGAGACTCTTAGAACACTGTGCCTTTGCTATAAGGAAATTGAAGAAAAAGAATTTGAAGAATGGAATAAAAAGTTTATGGCTGCCAGTACAGCCTCAACCAACCGGGACGAAGCTCTGGATAAAGTATATGAGGAGATTGAAAAAGATTTAATTGTGAGTTTTAACCTTTGTAACTTTTCCCTTGATATTCTGAACAGAATTGGAAATCTTATCAAGTTTTATTACATCTTTGATCTCACTCTTGAAATACAATTCAAACTGTAGTATTTGAAACTGGTACAGTGGAACTCAGTCATTTGAATTTTTTTCAGCGAGCAAAATAGCAGTTGCCATTGTGAGAAACCAAAAGACAGAAAACACTATGAGATTCTGATTCTATTATTTTTATATCACCTACTACAATTCATTTTATACAATAATAAGCCAGTATATACTTATTACACTATGAGAATTACTGAGATGATTTATATTGTGCAAAATCTTGAAATAAGAAAAATACACCACTCATAGAGACTTTCCAAAGTTTAATACTTATTGCTTGTAGAGTTTTGATGGAAAGGAAATGTTCAACAGATAGTGAGTGTTGACTTTTAGCAAAAGAAACTGGTTTGTATCCGTGTAAAGTGGTATACACACAACAAAATTATATATTTTTAATGTCCTTGATTGGTACTTCCATTGTCTTGGTGAATTACTGTAAGGAAAAAGACTTTGGCGGCTTGGTTTTCAGTGCATGTGGAACACGGCAGCCTTCCCAGTTACTGCTGGCCGCTGGCCCTGTCGTGCAGCGGCTGGGGTGTACTTAGCCCATCTGCTTTTTACAGGTCGGCAGACTGCAAATACAGAACATTTTTGGCTTATTTGCTAATTCCTTTCTGTGAATGTACATTCCAGCTATTAGGAGCAACAGCTATTGAAGACAAGCTACAAGATGGAGTCCCAGAAACCATTTCAAAACTTTCAAAAGCTGACATTAAGATCTGGGTGCTCACTGGAGACAAAAAGGGTAAGTCAGTTTGCAGGGAAGCCTTATCTGTTAATTCACAAATATCCACAGTTCCTGTCTCCCCTGCTCAAGGTGACCTTCTCAGACTTCCCATCCTGCACAAGCACTGTCTCTTTCTCTGGGGCAGAGATGCTTTCCCTGAGAAACCCTGAGTTACTCCAGCCCACCCTGACTGCCTCCTTCCCGAAACTCCCTTGGGGGCAGAATTTACTCCTTGTAACTGAGCTCCTATTTATGTCCTGCTGGCTGTGTTCAGTCTTATCTCTCTGTCCGACATGGGCTCCTGTCCTCAAAGGGCCAGCCCTCTGGTCCCTTCTGCCTTCGTCCGCACTTTACCATCTGTTGGGCAGAGAGCAGAAGAGCATAACATGCTGAATAGCAGCTTTGGTTTTCTTACCTCTTTTATTAATTGAAAATTGGAATTTTATCCCCACGGGAAGATTCTAATGTTTAAATTCAGAGCTCAACAAGGAGTTGAATGTTGTGTTATGTTTCTGTTGATTTTTTACTCCAGAAGCCTTCCATGGGAAACTAGATAATTTGTTTTACCCTGACATTGTTGATGGATTACACACTCAGATAAGCTAAGGAATTAAGTCCCGACCTCACACGAGTGGTAGGGGTGGTGTGAAAGGGGGAAACTGTCCAGGAGCCACGTGTGAGGGTTTGTGGAAATGGTTATCCTTCCCGCCTTGTGTGTGTATTACTCAGTCATGTTCGACTCTGTGACCCCATGGACTGCAGCCTACCAGACTCCTCTTTCCATGGAATTCTCCAGGCGAGAATACTGGAGTGGGTTGCCATTCCTTTCTCCAGGGGATCTTCCCGACCCAGATTAAACCACATGAACTAGATGTGTTCAGTATTTCAATGAACATTGATTTTATTAAATAACCAGCTTACACATTTGATATTATAGCATATTTCATTATTAAAAATGTTTCGACAAGACTTTGACTTATTAGACTTATTACAGAGAAAAGGATTTTTTTCCTTTGGTGATGTCTAGACATTGCTACCAAAAAAACCAAAAAGTGTATTTGATTGAATCTGGTTGTCTTATTAATTGAAAAAATTGTTACTAGATGAAGGCCATTATTAAATTCATCAGTAGGAATGACATTTGACTTTTTTTTTTCTGTTGTAGAAACTGCTGAAAATATAGGATTTGCCTGTGAACTTCTTACTGAAGATACCACTATCTGCTACGGGGAAGATATCAGGTGAGTAAAGGGCCTGCAGTGTGAGAATATGTAACATCTCATTTTTATAAAAACACGACTGGACAGTAGACACAGACAGAGAGATGGAGCTAGAACGTGTCACTTGCGACAAGTCTCCTCAAGTCTAAGTGAAACAGGAGACAGCAGGCAGCTCCAAGTCACCACACTTCAACCTTCTGTTGTAGAGAAACTTGAGGCCTGCCTTGCCCCTTCAGGGGCTTTTTTCTGTATCCCTTGGAAGCCCTCAGTGCTTGCCTGCTGAAAAAGGAAGTGGGCTTGAGACATCACTGACTAATTACGAATTAGATTTCATATTTTGTCTCTCCCAGCCTTGAGTGATTTGTCTTGATCACTCCTTATTTTCAACTTGAAAATGAGAAGTTAATGTGGAAAAAGAACAATAGCTACCACATGTCCTAGTGCAGTGGTTCTCAAGCCGGGTGGGGGAGGCGGGGCCTCTGCCTTCTGGGGAACATCTGGCGATGTCTGAAGACGTCTTTGGTTGTCACAGTGGGGAAGTTGGGGTGCTCCTGGCTTCCAGTGGGGTAGTGGCCAGAGGTGCTGCGAAACAGCCCACAGTACCTATAACAGCCACATATAACAAAGAATCAGTAGTGCCAAGGTTGAGAAACCCATCCTTGAAGGTGAAGACTAAAGGCTCTATGTGTGTAAGACGGAAAATCCTGGCTGAGAGTTAGGAGACCTGAGTCCTCATTGCATTTTCCCCATCAGCTTGTTGCAGGCAAATCACATTATCTGTCTCGGACTTAATTTCCTTGTTTGTTAACATGAAGAGATTGGGTATTTACAGTCCTTTTTACTCCAGAATTCCATGACTCATTTTTGTATCACATGAGTGAGCTGTATGCGGTCTTCTCAATAATTTGTTAATATAAAGCATGCAGAATAACTCAAAGGCAGACATAACTTTATGTGGAAATAAGTTGTTTTTATTTTCTGCCCAACAGTGGTCACTAATGTTTATAGCACACTAGGGTTCACCCCAATATACTATAATTCTGATTAAGGTTGCCTTCCTTCTGTTGCTTGTGAACACATTTTCAACTGTATCTTCTTTCAGCCACCTTTGGCAAATAATAAAGTACCCAGAACATGGTGCCTCCATGGTAGAGGAATCAAGACTTAGTAACATGTCACTTGATTTAAAAAATGGGCAAAAGACTTGAATAGATATTTCTCCAAAGAGACATATAAATGGCCAATACGCATATGAAATAATGCTCAACATCACTAATCACTAAAGAAATGCAAATTAAAACCACAGTTTCACCTAATATTGATTGAGGATGACTACTATTTTAAAAACACAGAAAATAGTGTTTGTACAAGTATATGGAAAATTGGAACCTTTGTGCACTGCTGGTGAATATAAAATGGTGCAGTCACTATGGAAAGCAGTATGATGATTCCTCAAACATTGTAAAATAGAACTATCATGATCCAGCAGTCCCACTTCTATATATATACCCCAACGGATGAAAAGCAGAGACTTGAACAGATATCTGCACACCCATGTTCACAGTGGCATTAATCACAATAGCCAAGAGGTGGAAGCAGCTCAAGGGTTCACTGACAGATGAATGGACAAACAAATGTGGTATATCCACACAGTGAAAACTGGGGCTTCGTTAGTGGCTCAGACAGTAAAGGATCTGCCTACAATGCAGGATATTATTCAGCTTTAAAAAGGAAGCAAGTTTTGACATATGCTACAACATGAATGAACCTGGAGAACAGTGAAATGAGCCACTATTAAGTGAAATAAGCCAATTAGGAAAAGGCATGTACTGTATGATTCCATTATGAGAGTTATCTGGGGCGGTCACATTCACAGAAACAGAAAGTGAAGTGGTGGTTACCAGAAGCTGGGGGAAGGGGAAATAGGGAGCTGTTATTTAATGAGTATGGAGTTTCATTTTGAAAAATGAAAAAGTTCTGGAGATTAGCAATGTGAATATACATAATACTATTGAACTGTATACTCATATAGTTAAAAGATGATAACTTTTATGCTAGTGTGTTTTTTATTGTTATTTTAAAAAGATTATATGTCAAAATTATCTCCCAGTCAAGGGTGTGTTCATGGTCTTATACACACTTAAATTTTCCCCCAGCGCTCTTCTTCATACAAGGATGGAAAACCAGAGGAACAGAGGGGGAGTCTATGCAAAATTTGTACCCCAAGTGTACGAACCGTTTTTTCCGTCTGGTGGGAACCGTGCCTTGATAATCACTGGCTCTTGGTTGGTACGTATCATTAGTTCTCTCCCTTTGGCTCAAACTAAAGCAGGTCATTCTGAACCAATTTTAGACAGTTTCATATTAATTACCAACGTTAAAATCTGTTAGCCTATAAATGAGAGGACGATTTCCGAAGCCTGAGAGTTAATATTATATGATACATAAAATAAGTGATACATATAATAATATGTGATATATATAATATTGTGATATGTATATGCTACATATTATATGATCATAATATATCTAATATTATTATTATATGATATAAACTGGTAGCAGTGGTTACTACTAGTTTGTCAACAGAAAATTTTAATTTTCTTCATTGTACATTTAAAAGTTTTCTATAATTTTATAGTAAATATTTTATAATCAGAACAATATCATCAGTGACACAGCCTCAGAATTATCCCTCAGACGATTAAAATCTTGAGAATGGCACTCCTGATATAAAACCCCAAACAGACTGTAATCCTTTCCCCTCCTTAATGTCACAGAATGAAATCCTTCTGGAGAAGAAGTCCAAGAGAAGCAGGATTCTGAAGCTGAAGCTCCCCAGGACGGAAGAGGAGCGGCGCCTGCGGACTCAGAGCATGAGGAAGCGGGAGGTGACGAAGGAGCGGCAGCAGCAGAACTTCGTGGACCTGGCCTGTGAGTGCAGCGCCGTCATCTGCTGCCGCGTCACCCCCAAGCAGAAGGCCATGGTGGTGGACCTGGTGAAGCGCTACAAGAAGGCCATCACGCTGGCCATCGGGGACGGCGCCAACGACGTCAACATGATCAAAAGTGAGTCTCGCCCACAGGCCAGGGCCGCCAGCTGCCAGAGGAAACGGCGGGACCCTTTCGGGGGGCAGTCTTTCACTGCTTGGGCTCTCATGAAGCAGACCTTTGACAAAGGCACTTGCCTGTGATGACGACACCCGTGACCCTGCCCTCAGGAAGCTTACAGTCCTTCTAGTAGGAGAGTGCAGCAGGCGTGACTGTGCCATGCACGGTGCCAAGTTCCAGGTTGGCCAAACGGGCCAAAAAGCTTGATCAGATTTTTCCATAACGTCTAATGGAAAAACCCACACAAACTTTTTAGCTGACCCAGCAGGAGATGAGTTTCATGTGGGTGCCTTATCCTTGTTTCCTTCTGTTGCATATGTTTGGATTTGGCTTTTTGTTTTCTCTTGCTGCTTCTCCTCCTGTATTTCTTTAGGGTTTATTGAAAACCCTACCATATAATAAGTTTTGCAAAAACCTATGCTGAGCTTGGCATAAATTGTTGAATTATTATTTGTTTGGGGAATATTACTCTCCCACACCTAAGATTGTTTTCTGGGGCTTTCTTCCTGCTGTTGGTCAGTTGTTAAACTTCACCATTGGGTGACCTCGTGTGAGCTCAGAGTAACACACTTGGCATTGAAGCAAAGTTCCAATGTGGCCACAACATTCTCCTGACCTCCCAAGGTCTTTTTGCTTGTTGGAAGACTCTAGGTACCCACAAATGAAAGGATTTAGTCCTATCTTGTAGAAATACAGTTTTGCTGGTATTAAAGCATTGGGAGCCAAATCCCTATCAGTATGTCTGAATCCTGGTCCTTTTGTTTCCCTGTAGAACTTGTAAAGGGTATCCTGTAATGAAAATGCCTGAACTAATGAGATCTGAATACTTGCCTTCATCCTAATACCAACATGCTGTGTCACCGTGGGCTCATGCTCAGGCATCAGCTTTCTCATTTGAGAACAAGAAAATTGTCTCTGATGTCATCTCTAGCTTTGTGATATTATTCTTAAGATGAACAATCCATGGCACGTATGCACATGTCCTGTAGGTGCTGGGTAGCTTAGACGGATTATGTATATAACTAGACTTTGAATTCAACCTATTTTGTAACTCACGTGTCTCTTTCTTTCCTTAGAGTTTCTTCCTCCTCCTCCTTGATATACACTAAGAATATTCCAACTTTATCTTCCTCAGCAGGAGTCGGCTCTGTGATGTACGTCTTCTTGCTTCTTTACCATGTGTATGTCTGTGGCCTCTACCAGTTTAATTTCTCCGCAGTTCTGCACACGCGCATCCTGCCGTGCGAATGGCATTTCTTGCTCTGAATCAGATGTTCTTTCCTCTGCAGCCAGTTCTAGTTTATTTTCCATTACGTACCTTAACATAAATGCCTCTGCCAAAAAAGCAAGTAACTCAAACATGATTTTTCTTCAGTTATAACAAAGACTTCTAGATACTGGAGAAAGGGCAGTCCCTTACAGACTTACCATCTGACTATGTGAGAGACTTGAAGACTCCCTTGTTGCTCTGGGCTCACTGGTTGATAGCAAAAGGGATCACAGAGAGTCAGCATACATGAATCGCCTAGAGACTGTTTTTTCTTAAGTGGTCTTAAGCATTTTATTAAGCTGTGTTATATGGTAGATGCTTTTATATATAATGTAGGAGGCATCCTTTGGGGATGAAAATCAGAGAATCCCAGGTCTCCTTGGAAGAACGTAGCTTAATCCAAGTATTGTTAAGCACCTTTTGAACTTTGTGAAAACTGTTGTTTTACCTGCATCAGGAGTAATACACAGAAATCGTTGTTTATGAAGCACAGTGGGATCTGTGTCTAAAAAACTCTGACCATTTCCTAACTTGTTTCATGGTTACTGGTGTAGTCCAGTAGACGTGGAGGGAGTTGCAGTGCACCAGTTTGCCCCTAGCAGGGACCCAGGGGCCCTCGGAGGCTGCCCTCTCCCTCCTCTGGGCCTGAAGACGGCTGGTAGGTGGGGTTTTACTTGGCCGAAACCCTGAGAATGAACAAGAGGCATTCAAGTGGCAGGAAGAAACTATCAGTTTGTTAGGGAATTGTGAAGCAATCTACTTGGAAGGCATTTAAAACCACATCTGAAACTTCAGGAAAATCTAGGTGTCTATATTTAGATTTCAGGAAAACACAAGCAGTGTGGTCTTATGAAGTCCATCTGTTTAGCTGCCTTGAGTCACCCTGTGAACTGGGGCAGTGTCCGCTTCACATACTGTCCTTGGTCTGCAGCGCAGAGGCTGGCCTGCATGTCACGGCCTAGCACAGGGGCTGGTGCTCAGGGGCTCCTCGCCTCGGCTCTGAAAGAATCGCAACATTTCCGTTACTTGCTCAGGAAGGAAGGCCACCATTTGGTAGGAAAGAGCAGCCTGGCAACCATGACTGGTCATTAAGAACTATTTATGTGTTTAGAAAGAGGTCATAAATATTGATCGAGATGCAGTTTATTCTATTTTTTTTTTTTAGAATTGCAGAGTGTTATTTAAAAACATAGGTTTCGGACAAGTCACTGTGTTAGCGTCTTGAATTTGTCAGACCTTATATTCTGCAACTGGGGCAGGGGTTTTGGAGCTTTTAGTTGGAAACTCTGCTGAACTGGCAGACACTTCTCAGGGTCTGAGCAACCGTAGACTGTGTTCTCCAGCACATGTTCTCAAAATGATCTCACTATTTGTCTTTCATGACTTTTAAGACCTAGATCAAACTCATAATTCTCTAAGTGGAACATATAATTTAATGACTATTGGAAAGATGGATAAAACTGGAACTATTATTTTTATCCATTCTGGAAACCTTCCTCCCCTTAAAACAACTGGCCCCCCCCTCAGGTCTCAGTGGGCCATGAATAAGCCTTTGAAAGTTTAATTGTATCTAAGTTAAAACACTTTTGATTGCAAGTCTTAGAGAACAATTAAAGTTAGCATACAAGAAAAAGAAACCTAATTTAAAAAGCTACAAATATGTGCTGCTCAAGGAGCCAGGCCTCTGGATAATGCTAGAACCAAGAAGCAGTACCAAGAACCCAGAGTCTGTCTCTCTCATCCTTTCTCTAGGTTACTCTATTTCTCAGTGCCTCAGAAAGAAGTATATCCATCCCACAACTCAAGAATTTACATGCCAACATTCCAGACCAACACACCCGAATCCTAATTCCAAAACACCGAGAGAGAGACTGAGGGAAACAAATCCCTACGGGTACTCTAAGTGGGAAGTCATTAATACAGGGGGCCAGGTGCTCATAGAAAATTCTGGATGGACTGAGGAAGGTTGGTTCTGGGTGGTGTCTCCAAGTCTGGGTCACTTGCCAGAGGAGTTTTTAGAGTTGAGGCTCCTCTGAAGAGCTGTCCTGTCGAGAAGCCCTTGCAGTTGTTTATCAGCATCCGGGCAGCTGGAGAATGGATATACAGAGTCTGCTGCAGGAATGCCAAACAGGAAAGGGATGCTGGGCTCCCAGCTACTTCTGCTTCCAAGTCACAAGTGGGGCCAAACAAGTGGAACCTAATTCACGAAGAGGACCTAGCTGCAAGAGAGCCTGAGCAATGTAGGGGTTTTATTTGCTTTCCCACCTCTCTAATTAGAGTAAAATTTTAGAATGAAGGATGAGAGCCAATTCATAGTAACTACCACAGATTGCATATCTGCCCACAGCTGACTCAGCTGTGGCCAGGGAGTCAGGGAGATATGGTGTATAAATGGGTGCCTAGGGCTCACCCTGTGGCTGGGAAGGATGGCTTATGAGCTGGGCAGATAATCCAAATGGAATTCATCACCCATTGAGATCCTTATACAAATATTTATGGAGGCCCAACCATATGCTCTATATAGCAACCTGTATCTGTGACTTTGAGTTCAGAAGCTGAGGGTAGAGGATTGTGAGCAATAGCTTTCACATGTATTGGTTCATAAATGTCAGGTTCGTTTGTTTTTTGTATTGCCATAGAAACGTTTTTATCGTCTCAATGTTTTGTTTTAAAATAAGCGTAGGATTCACAGTATCTGCTTCCTCACCCCATAGCTGCCCACATCGGTGTTGGAATAAGTGGACAAGAAGGCATGCAAGCTGTCATGTCCAGTGACTACTCCTTTGCACAGTTCAGATACCTGCAGAGACTGCTCTTGGTGCATGGCCGATGGTCTTACATAAGGATGTGCAAGTTCCTGCGATACTTCTTCTATAAAAACTTTGCATTTACTTTGGTTCATTTCTGGTACTCCTTCTTCAATGGGTACTCTGCACAGGTAATACACCACCATCATCATTATTATTAAATGAGTAATACTCCTCTCTTACATGAATAAAACTACTTCTGAAAAAAAAATTTCTATTTTTCCCTTCCGTGTTCACAGTTTTGATGCTGTGTCTCTTAATAATTGAGACATAGATCAATTAAATTTATGAATTTTCTAAAATGTTTCTGGTGCTTCGAACTTACTTTGCCTTTAAAAAAGGCAGGATTTGTTCCTGGCCTGTTGAATTTTGTGTGTCTTTGCCTTCACCTTAGATTTTTTTTCCCCAAGTCATCTTACCTTTAAGAATAGTGATAACAAATTGTTCAGCTTTGAACAAACTCTTCAGATTTAAGTATAAAATTATATTGTGACTAAAGGGATTATATAAATTTCAGGTGATCATAGACCCATTATGTCTCCATTGCTGTTGGTTTTTAAATTTTTATCTTTTGCTGAAATAGGAGTAGGAACATATCTAACATGTCAAATTGGTGAAATGGCAGAAAAATCCCATTAGTAATATGTGAACCTAAGCCAGTGCCTGTGCTTGTCCAAACTTCTTTGATGCTATGCCACAGACAACTGCCACAAGAGGAGGGCCGATGTAGAAACTGGGCCAGGAGGTCTTGAGCAAGACTGGATCCTTATTCCTGCTTCTGTGCAGGACTGTGCATCAATGCTGGTGCCAAGTCAGCCCGTTTCCTCAACCCATCCTCATCCTCCCCCCGCCCCCCGAGGACTCGTGTGTGCACAGTCTTGCTTATCCCTTTCAGAAGCCTCTTTCTTATATTCAAAATGTTTTAGATAATGTTTAACTGGAAATGCTGGACCAGCAAGATAAAAGCAAATCTGAATGGTACATATGTACTTTTGAGGCAGCTGGATGTAATCTCATTCATTAATAAAAGAGGATGAACACGGATGTTTTCCAGCAGTTTTCAAATAGACCAGATTCTTTCCCCCGCTTATTTGAGGAGGGAGATGACTGTGAGAAGCCCTTTCATTCTGCCCACTCTATAAAAACAAACTCATGCCTACTGCGGGCATAGCTGATGGGGGAGGCAGGCGTCCTCTCCCTGGGGAGGTCCTTGCTCTGAGGGCAGGTGCATGCGTGCTGACTAGCCGGGCAGTGCTTCTTGGTTGGTGACACACAGACCCTGTCCTCTCCCACAGACTGCGTACGAAGACTGGTTCATCACCCTCTACAACGTGCTCTACTCTAGCCTGCCAGTGCTGCTCATGGGGCTGCTCGACCAGGTAGGCCCCGTGCGGACAGGGCGCTCTGCACAGGCTGAGCGCCTGTATCACAGCACGTGTTTCAGTGTCTTCTCTTGGTTTTCACTTCTTTCTGAGTGAGCCCTATTATATTTCTGCTGTCAGGCAACAACTGTGGTGCTTCTGGTTTTATAGTAAGAAAAGAAGATTTCTGTGCCTGGGTTGAATCCATCAATAAGAGAGTTTGTTATCCTCATCTTGGATGCTGAGGTTTTCTTGTTAGATACCTAACAGGATAGTATGTCTCTATGATAATGATTTATACATTTTTAAAGTTACATTACTTGTAACTTTACATGTAAGTTACATTACATTTTCAGTTACATTAAATTATTTTAATACCTCCCCAAACTTCTTGGTTTAATTAAATCTACATTCTATCTAGTTGCAATTTTTATAGAAGCTGCTTTAAAGAATAAAAATAATAATCTGGAATTAGCTCATCATGAATGCGAAAATGCTTTCTCAAAGAATGAGAAACAAATATCTCAGGAAGTAAAAATAGGCTTCCTATACTCTTTTTAAACATTACCAATTTGCTTTCTGTAAATAGAAAATAGTAGTTTATATAGTCTCTCAAAATTAAATATCAAATAGTGGTGGGCTACTTCCCTCGTGGCTCAGATGGTAAAGAATCTGCCTGCAATGGGGGGGACCTGGAGTCAATTCCTGGGTCGGGAAGATCCCCTGGAGAAGGGAAAGGCTACCCACACCAGTATTGCCTGGAGAACTCCATGGACAGAGGAGCCCGGCAGGCTACAGTCCATGGGGTCGCAGAGTTGGTTGGACACAACTGAAGCAACTTAGCACAGTATTGAAGCTGCTGAAGTCTCAGTTCTTTGTGAGATACAAGTTGTAATGAATGTATCTGAGTTCTTGGATCCTGGCGGCAGTACACTCAACTCCAGTGTTTTCCCCCCAAGGACGTGAGTGACAAGCTGAGCCTCCGCTTCCCCGGCTTATACGTGGTAGGACAGAGAGACCTGCTCTTCAACTACAGGAGATTCTTTGTCAGCTTGCTGCACGGGGCTTTAACGTCACTGGTCCTCTTCTTCATACCTTACGGTGCCTACACGCAGACCATGGGGCAGGACGGAGAGGCGCCTTCGGACTACCAGTCTTTCGCGGTGACGATTGCCTCTGCTCTCATAATAACAGTCAACTTCCAGGTATGTGGCTTTAGCTGACCGTGTCCAGTGCCCACTGCATCTGTTTCTGTGCGCAGACCAGCAGGCACATCTGCCTGGCTCCCCCTCTCCCTCCAACCGAGCCTCTGCCGCTCTGCAAGTATGAATGGATGCTATTTTCATCTCTTACAACAAACGTATTTCCCATTTCTTGCCTGAGCCAAGAGCAGCTTCTGATTGTTCAGAAGCCAAATCATGCCTAAATTGCTGAATTCTATTTTCAGAATCCTTAGATCCTTTATTTCTTGCTAACTCCCAAAAATGAATGCTCTGTTTTTCTCTGGTTTCCCAACAGATTGGCTTGGATACTTCTTATTGGACTTTTGTGAATGCTTTTTCAATTTTTGGAAGCATTGCACTTTATTTTGGCATCATGTTTGACTTTCATAGTGCTGGGATACATGTTCTTTTTCCATCTGCATTTCAATTTACAGGTTGGTATTTTCTAAATCCCAAAAATAAATGAATAGAAAAATATCATTAATTTAGATTCTGACATAACTTCAGGGTAAGTAAAAACACAAAGTGTGAATTACTGTGAGTGAAAATTAATGTCCTGAGTAGAGACTGAATGGTGGTTAGTGGGTTGGAAGCAGGGTAACATGATGGGAGGAAAGCAAATTAAATAACTTTAAGCTATAACTGTGCTTTTTAATTCTTCCATAAAATCTAATATTGGAAGGTTACTGGGAAACTAGGGATACATGTTTCCCAATATAGTACGATAGTTTAATCTTTCTAAAACACTACCTAGAAATACATAATAAAATTTGGGGTACATTTTGATTTTGTTATTTCCACATGAGGAATATACCCTAAGATGAAACACACCAAATTTTGGAAAGGTAATCTGTACAGATTGTATCACTACAACACTAATGTCTTTTAAAAACTGGAAATAACCCAAAGACATAAGAGTATCAAATTAGCAAAAGAAATTATGATGGAATTCTAGAACTTAAAAGTGGATTGTTAGGGAGGGAGGTGGGAGGGGGGTTCAGGATGGGGAACACATGTAAATCCATGGCTGATTCATGTCAATGTATGGCAAAAACCACTACAATATGGTAAAGTAATTAGCCTCCAACTAATAAAAATAAATGGATGGGGGGAAGAAAAAGTGGATTGTATCATCAGAAATATGCACACAGAGCAGTAAGTAAACTTATAAAAAACAATAGTTTACAGCTGTATAAAATATGACAAACGGACAAATGTTAGAATGAACTAATATCATAAAATTTATAGCATAAATTAGAATTTATGAACTTACTATGGATAGTGTAGCTTGGATTCAAAATGGAAAAAAAATGCTCCATAAACTTTTTTCCCTGTAAAAGAATTTTTTTAAAATGACCAGTTGTTTGGTTATAAAAGGCAGTAGCTGTGATAAGAATCCACCTGCAATGCAGGAGATGCAGGAAATGTGGGTTCAGTCCTTGGGCCTGAAGTTCCCCTGGAGGAGGGCATGGCAATTCACTCTAGGATTTTTGCCTGGAATATTCCAGGGACAGAACAGCCTGGCAGGCTACAGTACATGGGGTCACAAAGAGTTGGACACAACTGAGCACATACGTGGTAATAACCCTTTCCTTATTGGAATTGAGCTCTTTTTTTTTTGATCTGTGTTCTTCCTTACTGTGACTGTGTTTTAAAATTTTAGTACTCAGTTATTTAGGGTATTCCCATAGGGAGTGTTTTTAAAACCCATACACATTTATCAGTGTTAAAATCACATTTAAAAAATAAACACTATTATTTTTATAAACTCACAGTATTAAGTACAGAAAATATTGTAACAAATTTGGCTCAGTTTTAGAATTAAGTAGTATATATGATTACCTGGTTGTATTAAGAGAATTGAATTGTTACTTCCTCTGACATAAAAAACTAGAAGCTGAGTTCAGTACAAAAAGCCAAGCTCTAGCTGGATGGATATGGATTTTAATTCAGGAGTTGCATAGCTAGTTCTGTTACCGTGGACCAATTTTTTATTAATACTGCTCCACTACTTGGTTTCTTCACGTAGTAAAGACGGCAATACTCACCTCTCAGAATTGAGTAAATGGCATGATTTGTATAAAACACCTAGCATGAGGCTTACCCACAAATAGTAGTGCCCGTTGTTAATATGTGGAGTTTCAAACCAAAGGTATAAATTGGAAAGTGCTTTTTTGAAAATTTTATTTTTAATTGAAGGATAATTGCTTTACAGTATTGTGTTGATTTCTGCCATATATCAACATGAATCAGCCATAGGCATATATAGGAAACTACTTTTTTAGGTTCCTGAAAAAAAAATCCAAGTATAAATTGCCTATTTTTGCATTTCTTATTAATTCAGTGCCAACAAATGTACCTTTTTTCCTTATTTAGTCACTTATATACATTTGCCTTGTTCCAAAGAATTTATGT